CAGAAAGAGAATCTTCCTCGTGGCTCTAAGGCCACGTGCAAGTGGTGTGGGAGAGACCCTGACACCATGTGACACTTCACCAAGCTAGACAGGGACAGCCGCCCAGGGCAGAGGGCAGACCTGGACCTGCGGTCACGGCCCTGACTTCTGACAAAGTTGCCAAAGACACAGGAGGAAGTTGGAATCGTCTCTTCCAAATGCTGCTGGAAACTGCGAGTCCACAGCCCAGGAGTGGAACTGGAGGCTCACCTCCACCGCAGGGAAAAGTCTCTCAACAGGGATCAGGGAGTGGGATGGAAGGCCCCACCTGGAAACTCCAGGAGGCTGCAGGGAACGCCCCAGGACTCGGTCTGCACAGATTCCGTGGACACACCCCGAGACAGGCGGCAAACGTGAACACAGATGGAGTCAGAAGAGGGGTTGGAAAACCTAGTGACCCCCATGCAGGGCAAGAACTAATGCCCAGACACAGACACGCCAGGGCACAACTCCACGGCACAATAGCTCAAAATGCCCCAAAATGGGCCCAGGGCCCAAATGAACACTTGTCAGAGAACAGAGACGGCCAAAGGTCCTCACAGGGCTGCTCACTGTGACCGTCAGGGAAGGGCCAATCGACCCCAGGCGACTGTCACAAAGACACAGAGGGCAGGCAGAGGGCACGTGCCCAGTGGGGCCGCGGGGAGCTGCAGAGGCTCCTCAGGACACTGACGGGGGCGCCACAGGATGCCGTGGCCCCACCACTGAGCATGATTCCCAAGGGCACGAAGCCCAGGTAGCAGGGCACCCAGCACCAGGCAGTGGCCACCCTGAGAGGACAGGCTATCGTCTCAAGGACAAGGTGGTGCCCGCGATGGGAAGCCCGACCTCAGAGGGGGGGTGCTGCTCTTCGAGGTGACCTGGGGAACCTGCAGCTGCAGGACCAGGATGGGCGTCCCCCRGTGGAGTGTCGAGCAGCGAGCCCCAGGAAGAGCGACCGTGTCCACCTGGGGCTGGCAGGGAGGGGCGGGGGCTGACCAAAGACAGGAGGCTACGACCCATGCAAGAGGAGCAACAGCCACACAGAAGTGCACCTTGCACTTCACGATACCGAGTGGAGTCTGCACTTCTCACCACTAAAGAGAAGCAAGTATGTGAAGCCACAGATACGTTGGTGGCTCCGGTGTGACAACTCCAGGTTGTAAACAGGCATGAGAACATTGCACCATCCACATATGCAACCATTTTGTCAATTGAGATGAAATTTAAGAAATAAATTCGGTGGACAAAATGGGAGATTCCATAAAGAATGGCTTAAATTTAATGAAATCACAAAGAAGAATAATTAAAAGAAAGAAAGTGCTGGYGAAGAAAAGCTTTCTAAGCAATCAAGAGAGAAGCCGCCTGTGTTGATGTGGTGGGTGCTGCCTGGAGCCTGCCGCATGGTGGGGCCATCTCGCCTGAGAACACCGGGGACGCTGGCCACACATGGCCCTGGCCCCGGGGCCTGGTATCTGGGATTTCGGCTAAGAATCGAGCAGCGGGAGAAGTCCCTTTCCAGGCTCCTGGAGTGAGACGGCCCACGGCAGAGCTGCCTGGACCCGCACCTCCTGTGGCACTGATGGACGCTTCGGCAGGCAGCTGCTCGGGTACAAAGCCCCGGTGCCCCATTTCAAGGTCACAGGACCCAAGTTCACTCCGGCTACCACCGAGCCCTCTGAGGGTGTCATCCTCATCACAAGTGGCATCGTTCACCCTGGGCTTCCGGGGGTAGGGGATGGAGCCCAGGGCACTCTGCCACGGAGCTGTACCCCAGCTCCTTTTGATTTTGATTTTGAGACAGGGTCTCTCTTAAGTTGCTGAGGCTGGCCTTGAGTCACTGTCTTCTTGCCTTCAAAATCATCAGTGGATTAAAGACAAACTTCTTTTTGCAAAGTAAAGTGGTGACATCACAGGGCTGATTCCCCTGGCCTGGACTCCCGCAGACGGGTGGTGAAGGACGATAGTGACCACTGGGGAGACTGGGGTGTGGTCATGGTGCACAGTGCCAAGCCTGAGCTCCCTGGATTCCATGGCTGCACCATGGTGACGGGAGACCGCCCCACGTCCTCTGCCCTTAGGAAGCGTGGGCCACAGCGTTACCGACCAGAAGGCAGAGCACGGCTCCTGGGCAGAGGCTCTCCTGGGGTCCTGGGAGAGCCCATTCTGTCCCGCCCAAGATCAGCGGCCCAGAAGGGCTCTCTGCACTTCCCCACTGTTCCTTGCCTGGTGTGGTGGCCCGTGCACAGCTCCTGGCCACCATGTGAGGCCGACAGAGAGGGAAACCAGGGAGGTCGGGCGGCCCGACCTCCCACCTCCTGACTCCAGCACCGCTCTCGGCCACGGTCCCAGCCACACAGGAAGCTAGTGGACGGCCTAGACATCCTCCCCAGGTCCTTGGCTCTTCCCACCGGCCTCTGAGGGGCGACTGGCCATCAGAGCAGTCTCCCCCTCACTCGTCCTCCCCTTACTCCAGTGCAGTGGGGTGAAGGTGTGTGACACACCGGAGGACCCTCCACCCGTCTGGGTTTCTAACCCCACTCTCCAACCACGGGCCCTGGGAGAAGACTCCAGGCTGGAGCAGAGACGGCACAAGATGACCCTGGTGTCGCATGGTACCAGAGGTTGGGGCCACTCGGCAAACCAAGCCGGGAGCACACAGGCTACACTGAAAGGGCACGTGGCCGAGCTGGAGCAATGTGAAGGACAGGACAGAGGGCTGTGTGGACTCCGAGCCGGTGCACAGCACAGATCCCATGAACGAGCAAATGAAGGAGAGGAGGCGAGCCTTACTTGGGAGAGAATTTCAATTAGTACGTGCAGAAGGGGAGGGCTGGGCTCGGGCCACAGTAGAGATGGGCAAGAGCAGAGGACACCACCTCAGCAAGTCGTGAAGGTTGACAGAGACGGGCGCCCGACACGATGGAAGAACACCCCACACCCTGGAGTAGAGGACAAGCCACACCGGCCCACTCCTCGGAGGAAGGGAGGAGAGGGCCACCACACTCCCGGCTCTCAGCCGTGCCAGAGCCTGGGAAAGCGGGAGGCGACCGGAGCCTGTCCCGGGGCTGCGGGCCTCTGCCTCGTCTGTACAGCCTCAGGGTGGCTCGGAGCACTCGGAACAAAAGGCGGTTTCCTCAGGAAACGTTGAAGGTATCAGCCAAGGTGCTGGTGGAGAGATCAGTGGTCGGGGAGGCGTGGGGGCTGACGGTGCAGGCCCCGGGGCTCCCATGCCATGGCACCTGCCCACCTGCTCCCGGGGGCTGGGTAGGTTAACGGGTCCCCAGGGTGCAGCACTGGAAGATTGAGCCCAGTGTGGCAGGGATGCGGCATTGAAGAGGCGGGGCTTAGAGGAGGCACCAAGGCCATCGGTGTGCCCTCAAAGGGACAGCACAGTCCTCGTAGGGCCCCAAAGGCAAGCTATTAGGAAGGAGCCCCTCGCTAGCTCTGGTTTCTGTTTGGTGGCGCGAGCTCCCCTCTGTGCACCTCTGCTGCTGTGATGCCACCTACCGCGAGTCCTCACCACAGCCGGGATGACAGCCATCAGCAGACGCCCTGGAACCTCCAAAGTCAGCCAAGGCACCAGGCCTCAGGCACTGCATGACATTAACAGAAAACGAACCAGGCGGAGAGTGGACCCTGGTGAGCCCGGTGGCCTGTGGTGGCATGCATGTCTGTGCAAGCCCACACACGTGCACAACTCTGTGGAGGTTTAATTTGGCAGGAGGCTCTGCATGAATGGGGGCAGGGTGTAGGAAGAGTCTGTGTGCTTTCCTCTCAATTTTTCTCTGAACCTGAAACTGCTCCTGTAATTTTAAAGATGTGGTTTAAGGTACTCATTTCTTTGTTTGCTTCTTTCCTAAAAACCACAATTGCTAAACAAAAAGACTACTGCAACTTGGAAAATAAGTGAAGCTGGTCACAAAATAAAGGTCAAGTGCCGGACATTCTGCCTACGCCCACCCTCACCAAAGGTGCTCCCAGGACCGCTGGCCACCACTCAATGCCACAGCCACCCACCTGACAGAGAAGCAAAAATGACACCCCAAAATTCTTGCTGGCCCTGGTTCTGCAGCTATGGGACCTCCTGGCAGGCTGTGGCTTCCTGAGGACGTGTGGGTGGCTAGTAAAACCTCAGGGAAAGASAACCAAAACGGTGGATCTGTGTTGGCCGACACAGCGAGAGAGAAAAGGCTCGTCATGTTGACGCTTTCCTGCTATCCAGCAGACAGAAGGTCGGGCGGGGCTCAGCGGGGGCTCGCACAGCACAGGGCTCCCCACACCTCTAGCCCCTCCCGCCCACCCCCGGCTGGGACCCCTATTCAGCGGTTGCSGAGGTGGATGCTGGGATGACCTTCGGTCTGGCCTGCAGGGGCGGCCAAAAGCACTTGCCTAGCACGTGTGAGGCTCTGGGTTCCACCCCCAGCACCACATAAAAAAAAACACCCCAAATAAAGCAAACAGAACTGAACCACTGGGTAGGGTCACTTCTGCCAGGGGAATCAGCCTCTTTCCAAAACAGAAAGGAAGTTTTCGAGGGAAGGAGAGCTCACACGTGAAGCCTTGGAACCTCTCAGGAGGCCCAAGGTCGGCCGGGTCTCTGCCCCCTCAGGTGTCCTGGGTCTTTCCAGTGAGTGGCCTGTGGGTGGCCCTCCCTTCCCACTTAATGAGCTCTGAAACAGGACAGGCAGCCGTCCAGGGTTGTGCTCTCCCGCGGAGGCATCTGGACCTGGTGCCACCAGGAAGCTTCTCCAGCCCCACACACAGGCTCACTCCCGGGGACCTGGGCGCTCAGGGCCCCTCTGCCCATGTCAGCGGTGGCTGCCCAGCCCCAGGGGAGGAGCTGTGAGGTGGAGCCCTCCTGGAGGGGCGCCCACATCCCTGGCTCTCCTCTGGACGTAGCCGTGCCACTGCAGGGAAATCCTGACCTGGTCAAGTCAGGAGGGGACGTGGAGTCAGGAAGATCAGTTCAGAAACACAAGGCGACTTTTAAAGTTTTATTAGTTGAGAGCAAGAGAAAGCTGGCCAGGGAACAGTGGGACGTGAGAGCTCTGGGCCCCACCCACAACCAGGAGAACAGAGCTGTGTCCTGGCCCCACGAGCACAGAAGCCGTCCAGCCTTGGGAAAAGCCAATGAGGACAATCACCAAACGCCCAAACCAGAAACTAACGCGTGACCGCTCTGGACGCACATGCAGCCCACTCAGGTGGCACTCGCTCACACAGCACACGGCACCCCGTGACCTCTAGCCCCTCCCGCCCACCCTAGGCTGGGACCCTATTCCGCTGCCGCAGAGGAGGACGCTGGGATGAGCTTGGGTCTGGCCTGCTGGGGCGGCGGGACGTCCGGGATCTTCTCCCCGTGCTTGTACACGCTGACGGTGACGTCGATCTTCTCTCCCCCGTATTTGTTCTTGACGTTGATGCTGTACTTCCCGGAGTCCTCGGAGGTCACCCCCTTGATGGTCAGGCTGACGTACTTGGCCTGCTCCACCTTCACTGAGAAGTGCTCACTGAGCTCCAGGCCCAGGTCGTTCTTGAACCAAACCACCTCAGGGTCCGGGTTTCCAAACACCGTGCAGGTCAGATTGAGGGTCTTCAGGGGGACAAGGGGGGAGGGGGGGAGAGGGGAAAAGGGAGGTCAGGCCGTCTCCCCACAGTGACCAGTCTGCAAGCCTGTCCCACACCCGGGCAGCAAGTCACCCCAGACAGCGTCAGAGAGAACCACACAAGCCATGAGAGCCCTCCCTGCTCACTCAGAGAGCCCACTGGACACCCTCAGAGACCTCTCCCTGATCACCTCAGAGACCTCTCCCTGCTCACCTCAGAGACCTCTCCCTTCCCACAGCTCAGAGAGCCCTCCCTGCACGCCCTGGGACCCCCGCTGCACGCTCTGACAGCCCTTCCCGTTCACAGTCCTGGGAGAGCAGGTAGAGGAGGGCCCGCTTCATGGCAGCTCACCAGAAACCAAAGGCGTGGTTGGCTGAGCGCCAGCTGGGAGGGGGCCTGGGGGGGTCAAGAACGTGTGGGCATCGAGCTCTGCATCTCCTAGCAGGTGCCCCAACCGTTCCTCTATGTCAGAAATGAATCCTTTACCAGTTCCTCTTCACACCCAGAGAACGCGTGTTCCGACAGCTAGCAAGCTGGAGGCAGCACCTGCCCTGAGGATGGGGTTGCACACCCCTGCTTGGCTGCCCTCTGCCCTGAGGATGGGGTTGCACACCCCTGCGTAGCGGCCCTCTGGCCCAGCTCTGCACGCTGCAGCCTGCTCTCACCTTGCCTTCCATTATGGTCACCACATCAGGCAGGCCTCCGATCACCTTGCCACGATCTGCAACAGGAAGCCACTGTGTTGGGAAGGCACTGACAGCACGTTCCCTGGCACCACGTGGCACCAAGGTGGAAGTGGGAGGGGACAGGGAAGAGAAGGATACATGCACGGTGGAGAGGAACCACAGGCCACGGGCAGGCAGGCCAGAATAGCAGACCCTGCTGAGGGGCAGGCGACAGGCTCCAGAGGAAATGTGGGATGTGTGTCCGAGGGTGACAGAAGAGTGCCAACCCATACCCGGGAGGAGGAGAGGGGTTGTGGCATGGGGAGCAGGATTTGCAAAGGCGGGTGGAAGACAGGAAGGAGAAAGGTCCAGGTTAAGAAAAGCGAATCTAGATGGAGGCTGGACATGTTTGAATGGGGGCAGGAACGCTGGCCGCTTATTGTCTGCACACCAAGTCAGTCACGGGAAACGTGCACCCTTTGCACCCAGGTCACGTGCCGTCCTGTTATCATCCCACTTGTACTTACTCTTCTCTGCAAAAGCCGCAGCCCTAACACCACGGGGAGGAGAGAGAGAACAGACATGCTGCTGTCAAAACGCACCACACACAAGCACAGGAGGGGAATGCCCCTGCTCCTCTGTGCAGTCTCCCTCAGTCCCCAAAGACACCAAACCCCACTGTGCGCAAGCCCTTCAGATGAAGAGGACTGGTGTCTGCATAGAACCTAGTGCACCTGGTTTCCTTTAAGTCATCCCTAGACTGCCTGTAACTCCTAATGCATGTGGACCCTTGGTAGGCGCACTTACACTGAATTGTTTTAGGGATCATGATGAGAAAAGTCTGTGCGTGGTCGGCACACATGCAATCTCTTTCCAAGTACTTCTTACCGCGGTTGGCTGAACCCAGGGATATGGACCCTCTGCTCACGAAGGCCAAAGGTGACTTTTCTGATCTCTTCCTCTGCCTTTTCTGTGATGGGGAGCACCAGCAGACGCTGGGTCGCAGAGGTAAGGCCGCAGGCAGACCCACCAGGTGGAGAAACTTACTTTCTTTCACCAAATTCACCAGATCACATTGAAGACTTTTAAAGTGATTCTGAATTGGTGGGTTTGGGTTTATCTTACTTGTGCAGATGTGACACATGACTAGCAAGCGCTCATTTGAATCTCTAAGACTCAGACAGGCATGCGGAAACCCCCAATCATTTGTTTAAAGGTTGTTCTGTTTGATGTGTCACCATGATTTCAATGACTTCAGAAATTTTATCATGTAAAGTAAGCAGGGTCGTGACAACTCTGAAAAGCTGACTCATAAATGTGTTTCTGGTTTAGAAGAATGCTGCCCGCTACAGAGTGAACCACCTGAACAGCACATTCCCGGGATCACCTGGGCGTTCATAGACCTTCCCTCACATAGCAAAATGCCCTGAGCCAGCCAGACCACGCTCTGATATAAAAATAATCATGTATGAGGGTCTTACTTGAGTTGCTGGAACTCCGCAAAGGCTTCATCGAAGGCTGCAAGGAAACAGTGCACACGTTACTAACTGTGGAAGAGCTCACCTCCTATCTGCAGATGTTCCACTACAGATTTGAGCAGCAGAAATGATCAATGACCAAATGAGCAATGCACTGCCCAGAAGAGATCTTCTCTGAATGAAGTCACACACTCGGTGAAGGGTCAGGACATCTCCCGTGTGTGGGATCTGAAGGGATCACTGGGCACCAGGCACGGGTAGATAATGCACAGGTCTCTTACCTTGTCCAGAGAGATCAAGTGAGCGATGATGGTTGTCTTTGCCATCAAAAATCTCAAAAGTGTATTTGCCTTTGTCCTTCTCGGTGGGCTCACAGATCTGCAGCCAGGCCATCTCCTCACTGCCTCCTATCCGCATGTGCTCGCTGGACGAGATCTTGGCATCTCTTTAAAGAAGCCACAGCAACACTTCGATTCAGTTTCCATGTCCGACGCAGAGTGCTGGGGGCAACACTATGTACGCTGGGGTGGGGTCTTGCTCATTGATGCCAATGGCCTGGAGATGTTCTGGCTACTACAGTTTCACCCAGAACGTCAGTAACTCAAACCTGAGGCTTCCTGAAATTATACTGTACTTAATTTTAAAGGTGCATGAGTATATAATATACACCTGTCACATGATCAACTTCAAAATACTTCATACAGCATGAGCTCCTCAGAAAGCTGCAAATGAAACTCTGATATGCCGCAGCAATTGCACTTATGGGAGTACACTCCAAAGACCTGCACCAAGCTCACAGCAGCACCGCACACACAGCCAGATGTGTGCAACCCATGTCCCCTGAGAGAAGGATGAGCCGAGGTGGTCTCTACAGATGGCGGGATTCACTCAGCCCTAAATGGATAAGGAGCTTCCGACCCCAGCACAGCCTGAGTGAACCCCGAGGACGCCAGCTGGGTGAAACGGCAGACACAGGGACAGCCACATGGGGCCCACTCAGAGGAGGCCCTGGGACAGAGGTAGGCTGGTGCCTGCCAGGGGCTGGGGGAGGGCCAGGGAGCCGGTGTTCCGTGGGGACAGAGCTTCAGTCCACAAGGTGAAGGAGCTCCGAGGAGGACAGCCGGGCCAGCTGCGCTCCGTGTCATCGTGCTGTCAGCTTACAGACGGCCGAGGCGCTGAGCCCCCGCTTTGTGGACCTACAGGGGGTTTCAAGCTTGACCAAGGACTAGGTGCCAGCCCTGCCTTCCAGCTTGACCCCTAGGCCACACTGTGAGGCCAGCCTGTTTGACAGGCCTGCAGAGACCACCTCCCAGTCACTGGGAGTTAGGGGGTGAGGGAAAGATTCACAGAAGTCACAGTCCTGGGCACAGGGAAGCAGACTCCAGGGCGACACACACTAGGACGCAGGTCTCTCTCCACCCACCAGCTTCAAGCAGAGGCCGCAGTAACTTTGGCCAAGTAGGGGTTCTGCAGAGAGCCAGCCCTGGAACTCACGGTGTGTCTTATCACCCTGGCGGCAGCCCAGGATGGGGTTCAGGGGGCTGCAGGGGCCAGGCCAGGAGGCAGCTCCTGGGCCCACACACTGATCTCAGGGAATGGCTCCAGACAAGGAGGAGGCCTCTGACCTGTCACTTGCAGGAGTAACAGGGATGAGGTAGCACCAGCCTCACAGGGAGGAGCGCAGTGGACCAGGTCCACCGTCGGGCACAGAGTGGTCATTCAAGGCACAGTAGACATCTCCCTTTCTTTCATTAGTGCCCCATGCCAGGAAGGGTGGGAAAATCTCACGAGACGACCCCTGGGCGATCTCTCTGCAGATGGCAGGGTCTGCAGGTGGTCCACCAAAGCCTTCCTAAGGACAGCCCAGGCCCCGTAGCCCTGCTCAGTGCTCTCTGTCTGCAGTTGCCACCTGATAGCTCTTTTAATAGCCAAGTAGAGCATCTACTTTTAATGGCCAAGCCTTGCATCTCAGTGATGGACTACAACCACAGAGCAGATGAACACACAGCTCAATGCTGTTTAATAGTCAATGGTAAAATGTAGCCAAAAGTACATCCTTTCCAGTTTATATAACACCTTGAGGCCCAAAGGTTATACTTGGGTTATAAAACTGCTAAAGAAGTGCCAGTTTTATTGTCTAACAAACCCTGTTTGGAGAAGAGCAAGCAGAAATAATGCCCCTTTAACAAGTCGGGAATTTGCAGTGTTTCTGCCTCCCTGTGTCTCTAGTGACTCTTCCCTGCATGCTGCATGGTGGTGGTCAGACCTGTGCACTGTGCCCTGACTGTCTGGGACGAACACCCTCATGAGGCTCCCTGTCACTCACGAATGCCTGGTAGGAACTGCAGACTCCATTCAGYTCCCTGCTCCTCACTTACTAATTGTGTGGCCTTGAACAAGGGACATTTCTCTCATTAGGCCTGAACTTCCTCATCTCTAAAATGGGGYATCAATACCCAAGTCACCGGGCATCTGTGGGCACCACATGAAACCATGTGTCAGGTGTTGGGCACAAGTGCCACAAGCTAGGGCTGACATCGCACATCCACACAACTGTGTGTGCCCGTGCAGGTGTGTATGGGCGAGTGTGGTCTCCAAACCCCCAGACCCAGCACAGAGCACACCCCTCGGACAAGCCAGACAAGCTGAAGGGGCGCAGCCTGTCCAGCATGGACACCATGACCAGCCCCACCAGGGCCAGATGCAGGGCACAGCTGCACCTGTGTACAGCTTTCCATGAATCACGCTGCCATAAAAGAGGAGGCCTGGGAGGCCGAGGCAGGAGGATTGCAAGTGCAAAGCCAGCCTCAGCAACTTAGCAAAGCCCTAAGAAACTCAGCAAGACCCTGTCTCAGAATAAACAAATTTAAAAAAAAAAGGCTGGGGATGCAGCTCAGTGGTCAAGCACCTCTGGGTTCAATTTCTGATTTAAAAAAAACCAGAAGGAAACAGAGAAGAGGTAATAGATCCTGGGTTCCGGGGGTTTGATTCAGCTGGAAAGAGATTCATCATCTTAACAAATAAGTCCTATAAACAAACCACAAAGCGTACCCGAGTGTTAGTCCCCTGCCTCCAATACACTTTTCCACCAAGCTCCTCCGCACGGGTCTGTAAGGAGTCTGCCGGTGCTGGCTCTCACACTCCAGAGCACAGCAGCGCCAGTTCCAAGCACGAGGCACCAAGCTCTGAGGGCCATACTATTCCGTTTCTAAGCCCAGCATCCGAGACAAGGCTGTAGTATGCCAACTCTCAACAGAAAAACACAGGAACACGTAGCGCTTTAAAACTAGGAGTTGCTCATAGCTAGACCCACCTGGACAGAATGATACTGTTTAAAATTAATCATACTGTTTATGACCATGTTTGCCTTCTGGCAAATGCAATGTCCAAAGGCACAGTATGGACACCCAGGACAGAGATGGGACACCCTGGAAGCACAGCCCATGGACATTGCCCTCTGGCCTCTCTCGGGTCACRAGGGACAGCAAAGCAGCACTGGCTCCATCTGCCCCTCCTCAGGTCCCCACATCAGCAGCTGTGGGGTCCGGGATGGTGATCCCAACACAGAAACCCTGGGACTTAGATGCCACCTGCCTGGTCTCAGGTAGGAGCCTGCAGCTCAGATCTGAAGGGCCAGACCCCGGTGGCTGAGGGACAGCTCCACGCAGTTGCTCTATCGGTGCCGGGGCCCTCCCAGGTAAGCGGGACAGAGGCCATGCTGCTCGCRTGGCAGGAGAGCGGCCTCTGCATGATTTCAGTTTGGCATGTTGGGCCCCGGGTTCCTAATGGAGCTGCTGGGGATGTGCACCCTGGCCTCCAGGGGCTGCTCCCTCTTCCCTCCCTGCTCGCTCCCAGTGAGGCGCACCAGGAGCAGCCCGGTGCAGGGGGAAAATCTCACAACCGCAGGAGTCACTCCTTCTCCTTTGCAGGTCCTCCCCACAGCCAGACGGCCCCCACCCYAGCCCAGGGCTCCCGACGGCTCAGAACTGAAATCGGGAAGGTCCCGGCCACGCCGTGGCACCCAGCCCCGTCCCGGCCCTGTGCTGGGCTACGGCTGCTGCCTAGTACTCACTTGTGGTACCAGTTGACCTTCATTTCCTCTGTGAAGTACTTCATGAAGCACTGGAGCCGGATGCCCTCCGGGGTGCACAGGACCTTCAGTGGAGAGGCAGACGCCCCTGCAGACACAGAGCCACGCAGGTGTCGGGGAGCAGCGTGAGCCATCTACAGCGGCACACTGGATATTGTGTGTGGAATACTGTGGATGTCTTAAAGATTCCACATATAAAGTCTCTCTGCTTGGCAGTGGTGAGAGAGCCATAGGCTGTCACACGCTGTTGTAACCACACTCTTTATCTTTGCTGACCACACAGCACACTTTTCTGGTGAGGGATGCCCTAAGTGTGTGCCAGCCCCCAGGTCCTATTCTCAGTGACACTCTCTACTTCAAACACACACCTCCCCAGGCACACCCACTGCACTCGGCCGTGTCCATTCTGATCCTGACACTCCAGTGTGTCCACCCACACCCCCATCCTCTCGTTGGAGGGTGGTGAACTATGCAGCCAAAGACTTTTGCTCCACATTCCCGTGTAATATTCATTCTCTACATGAGCATTGGCCAGGCCAGGATGATTTGGAAAGCCCTTTGCTAAACACATTAGAGACTCAAGGCTTTGGAAGAGGATCGGCATCTGCCCCTAGCTGCTTCGCTTCAGAGGACGAGCCAGAAGGGCATAAACGTGCAGCATGGAAAACACTCATTCATTGGCCTGCATCTTAGGTGTCATGGAAGGTCAGCCAAGGAGTGACACTCGGCAGGAGTGGCGCGGGTCAAGGAGATGGGGGCCTGGGGTCAGTCCTCCAGCACCAGGAGTTCCTGGGTGAGAGGACAGAAGAAAAATCTAAGCCTCACCCCTGGTGGCCCCCAGCTGCATGCCCTACGTGCACGAGAGGCTTCCTGAGAGGGCGAGGAGAGGCTGCCTTCCACGGGCCCGGTCTACCTTCCCAGAGAGAAGAACACCGGTCCAGCACAACCAGGCAGGCTTGCTGGCAAAGCTGGAGAGTCTCCTTACCCACTGCCTGGGGAAAGCAGTGGGGACAGGCAATCTCACAGGAATGCCAGAGACGGAGTGTGAGACTGCAGTGGACCCTGTGCTCAGCCGAGGGCTTCTGCTGGGGTCCTGACCGCAGCTGGCTGCCCATGCAGTCAGACCTCCTGACCCCCAGGTCTCGGTTACTGCATCAGAAGATGCAGATTATGACCTCTCTAAAGAGCCTACATAGTGAAATCACATGATTGTCAGCATAAACCACTGTGTACATATATTATTATTGAGTTATTAACCCATATTTTTCTCTCACAGTTTCCACGGGAAGGCAAATCAAGAGAGAGAATTTATTTGCAGATTTAAWATTAATCTAATGCCTGTGACACAAAGCCAGAGTTTTAAAATTTTATTATTGCTATTTATCATTCGAAATAAAGATGCTGATAACAAATTTGGATAAAGCAACTGTCCAGCTTAACCAAGGCATGTTGGAAGAGGTGATGAATTCTGATTTTAAAGCAAAACACAGACTCCAGAGCCAACGTGGAAAAGCACTTAGGGAGCACCATGGAGCTGCGTGCACTGTGGCCCACAGGCTCCGTCCCTGGAGGGGCRCATGCCACCTCAGGCAATAGACTTTAGCATGCAAAGTGACTGGAGAAGTAGAGGGCACTTGCTTACCACAGACCCGACTCATYGCCAGAATCATGTCCTCGTACACTGGAAGGGAGAAGGGAATGCACCGTGACCACATGTCCTCTCATAGAAAGCAGCCTTTCCAACATTGCATTAGACGCCAGAAACCAGGATGTTCATTTGAAAAATGAAGCATGAAAAAGGTAATATTCATCCGTAAAAGGCCCAAGTGGGCGATAAATCCTTCTAATCTAGTCTCTTTCAAAGTATGGGCAAGAACATTTCATTCAGCACAAATCCAGCTGTAGGTTTAATGAACCTCTCCATCACAGCTGCCAGCATTTCAGCTCTGTTGGTGTGGGATGAGCTGGCTTCCCGTGAAGGGTCCAGATGACATTTCCCCTAAGCTGCAGTAGAATCATACATTTCTCTAAAACACTTCAGCAGCTCTGAATGCAATGAATGTTTCCTTCTATGAGTTTCTGCTCCAGAAACAGTGTGTGTACCCGCTGAGGACACAGGAGCACGCACGTCTCAGCCAGCTCGTCCTGGGACAGGGCGATTCCCGGCAGGATGAAGGGTTCCTTTTACCTTTGCCAGCTATGTCAAGGGTGGACACGTCTTGACCTCTGTCATCTTTCAAGGTCGCCTTGTATTCACCGTGGTCCTTCTTGGACAACTACAAATAGAGCACACCCCATATTTATGTACGATCAATATGTTTGGGGCACAAAATGTAGCAAATGCTAATCCATTTCCTTGCAAACTATGGAATTTCAGAACACACACTGGAAGACAATGCAGAATTCAGGAGTTACCAGAAAACCTAACTTGCTTGGGTTCTCTGATTTTACTGAGCATCAGTACCTTTGGTATGAGCAGCTCACAGATCCCCTTCTCCAGGTCAGGCATGGTCTCAGTCTCATACAGAACATCATCCTTGAGCCACTTGAAAACCGTTTCTCTCTTGGTGTTTGCAACCTACAAAACAGAAATCTTTAGTGTAGCACATGAATCACTCTGGCTTGTCGAAAGACTTTAGGACTGTAAATTAAAGATCTTAAACACACACACACACACACACACACACACACACACACACACACACTGTACTCTCAGACAGAGGCCCATGGATAAGCCTTCCCTCCTCTCAGGACCCTCAGGTGTGAGGCAAGTGCTCTACCACTGAGCTATACCCCGGCCCTTATCACTTCTAATGACAATACTTTCCTAGATTCCCACTTCACAGGTGGGAAGTCATTTTGGACCATGAAATCAGATCTTTTGGTTTATGTGAAGTGCCTCTAATCAGGACAAGTCATCAGCGGTGCATCTTATTTATAAACAGCTAGACTGTCCTTGGAGCATGTGAAACTACCCAGTGGCTGCTCCCGTACAGTGTGACTCCAGGTGCTGCCGTGCAGAGGGGGAGGCAGAAAGAGGACTCTCCCTCTCCTGAACGCCCCGCCCGCCGGCCTGTCTCTGGCTGAGAAGCTGGGCTGGGGGAGCCCAGGCAGGTGCTCTGCACACAGGCCCCAGGCTGYGGGCGGTGAAGATCGCTCTCTGCACAGGGGAGCTGTGCTCCCCCACTCCAGCCTGGCAGTCTGCATCCCTAACCCACTCGGACCAGGAGACAATAGCAGGGTTGGGAAGCACAGATGCTTAGGAAACATACTCGGGGTGACCGAGCGACCACGCAGCACGCTGAAGGCTTCCCACAGCAGCTGTGTGCACTGCTGTCATCATCAGCAGCAGCAATGCCAAAATACAGTCCCCATAAAGCAGGGGTTCCGCCTGCCCAGTCACACTTGCCCCCAGTTTGGGAGTCTGCCTGGCACAGTGTCTGAGGATCACCTGGGGACAAGTACACAGGGGCTGGGAGGCAGGACCTTCCTCTAAGTCATAGACCACCTTCCCCATATTTTGTCACATACATAGAGTTTAAAATAGCCATCGGCCACAGTATCGTTAGATGAAAACTCAGTGGAAGACTGGTCCACAGAATTTCAGAATTGACTTTACTCATGTAAAGTCGGTGCATTAAATTGCAAAAATACTCAGATCTCAAGCAATATTTATTTGGTTTCTCCGACACCTGAGTTTAAAGGTTGGTAAAGCCTTTAGTCGAGGACACAGGGTAGTTTGAAACACCTGCAGAGAGTAATCCACCACTGAGGTGACATCAGAGTCCCCAGGGAAGAACTCTTATTTTTGCTGCTGCCCATGGCTGTGCATGTCCCCGGGTTCCCAGTGGTCAGAAGAAAGAGAAGAGCCAGCATACAAGCACCTGCCCCCGTGTGTGCTAAGTGCTGACCACCTCGTGGACTGATGTCCAGAAGACGCACACCTCCCCACACACACATGGTGACCATTGAGGAAACTGCTGTTTACCAGCGTGAACAGCTTAGTGGATAGCTACCCTTGGCCATCCAGGGGCATCTTCCTTTAGCTACCTGAAACGCTCTCACTTGTTGAGGGAGCCTGGCTGAGGCAGCTCTCCTGCCACCTCTTGGCAAGCAAACGTCTTTCATAAGTGTTTCTGCACACCTGCAATCCCAGAGGCTGGGGAGGCAAGGCCCTGGGCAACTTAGTGAGAYCCTGTCTCAAAATAAAAAGTAAAACTCTCTAGGGATGTGGCTCAGTGGTAAGACACCCCGAGTTCAATCCTAAACACAAAAAGAAAAAGAAATGATTTGTCTTTGAATATTCCTATTAAACATATTAGGGCAAGAAATTCACTACAAAAATACTAAGTAATTTTTTTATAATAAATGTAGGATAACCTTAAGCATATTAAACGCCAAAGCTTTAGCCCTAGTTTTCACTAAGAAGAGATGTGTCAATAGGACACTGAAAATCAATCACCAACACTAGTGATGGTCAGGAAATAGACAGTTAAATTGTCCCACAGATTTCAGGGAGCGCGTGGGTCCCGGGTGCATCCAGCTCTCCCCCACTCTSCCCCCACTCTCCTCCCTCCTGGACAAGCCTCCAGGGGCCACCCTCCTGCTCTGCTCGTGTCCAGCCCTCCTGGCCCCAGCCTCATTCTGGATGTTGTACAGGACACTGGTACTGTACGTGCTCCCCTCCGGGGGCTTGGGGTACCTGGCAGCTCCTGCTCCTGGGCTTGCGGGCCGCCCTTCACCTACTGACCTGGGTCCTGGGCTGCCCTACTCGGCTCTGGAGTCCTCCCCTTGCTAAAACTCCCTGCTTGCTTGTGTCTCCCGTCCCCTCAGACTGCGATTACGTTGAGGAGAGAGACCGTGCATAACGGACCTCTTACCCCCACCCAGCCCAGTGGCAGTCACTGAGTGGGCGAACACGTCACAGGTCTCCTGGGGAAAATGAATCTAACCAAAATGAAAGCTGATTAACTGCTGAGTTATTGAAACTTGAAAAACATCACGTTCCCAATGTGCCCAGTGAAGTGCCAAGAGCAGTGCACAATGGGTGGACTCCATCAGGGGCTCTCTCACAAACTCTCCTGCCAAAACTTAAACAAGACCCACTTGAGCCTTCTCTTGCAGGTCACCATCCTGCCGTCTTCTCACAAAGAAGGAAGGGCAAGCCCTGAATGCCGAGTCCTCAAGGCCACCAGAACCAAGCCGTCCCTCTGCACACACCTGAGCCAGACCACAGGGCCCAACCCTCAACCTCTGCCGAGACCAAGAGTGGCCCCTGTCTGCTCCACCTTGGAACCAGGTCCTCACCTTACACATCAGCCGAACCTCACATTCTTCCGTGACATCCCAGTGCAGATACTCAGCAAAGTGAGGGCCTGGGGGGAAAAGGGAAAGAGCTTATACCCATGAGTAAGTGTGTATTGTACAGATGTTGAATACACATATGYGTGGTGTGTGCTTCTAGCTGTGTGTGGATATACACATGTGTGTACTGCTTACATACAGCACTTCCGTTCACTATGAAACTGAGTGCTTTCACGGCCCTAAAGCCGACCTGGCTAACAGCATGTTTGTGCGGCTCTTAAAATCAAGGATAGATTATGTACATTTGTTTAAAATCTCAATCACTTTTATTTAAAATAAATGTAGAAGCAATATATTAACAATACGACTGTCCCATCAACACAAAAATGCAAAGCAGGGTTAGAAAGTGTCAACTCCTTTCATAAAATCACATTCGACACACTTGGCTCAGATGGAGACGGGCTAAGAGCCAGAAAATGACAGGCCCCTGGTTCAGATAGAGACGGGGTAAGAAGGAGAAGCAGAGCCAGAAAATGACAGGCCCCTGGTTCAGATGGAGACGGGGTAAGAAGGAGAAGCAGAGCCAGAAAATGACAGGCCCCTGGTTCAGATGGAGACAGAGTAAGAAGGAGAAGCAGAGCCAGAAAATGACAGGCCCCTGGACCGTGAAGGCCGTTGCAGACGTCCATCTGACTGCTGACTGGTAGAGGTTGCACTGGGTGAGGTGGGAGACACGATGTGGTCACACCGGGGGTCACGGAGTGGGAGTGCGCCCACGTGTCTCACGCTGTGTGGAGTTGCCAACGTGTGTTATAAAGCCAGGGAGTGGTTGGGAAGGACAGCGTGCAGAACACCAGTTAGTCAGCAAGTTGGCACAGAGACTGGCCAGATGGACACTTTCCCCATGGGCTGTGACAGGACACAGGAACAAGAGAGTCCTGGGGTTTCAAGTTAGACCAACAGGCAGGGTGCGCACAAAGCAGAGGACAGAGAAGCATCCAGGTTCCCTCGGCCACGGAAGAGCGTGGCTTTGCCACTGAAGACGCAGAGTCCTGAGAGGGTGCRAGGGCTCAGACCCCGGTCCTGGCTCCCTGCTGCGCCTCGGGGAGGCAGCTTACCTTGCTTCCTGAGAAACTCCTTCCTTTGAAACTCAGCCTCTTCTAGGACGGTCCTGAAGGCTACGGTCAACATCCAAGAGAGAGACATAAGCAGGTTGGCTTTCCCCTACTGAAGAATTTTCTTTGACACTGAAAGTATGCAATACAGCGTACCATCTCCAATGAGAACCAGGGAAGACTGACTCTTGGCTTTTCCATCCTGAATCTGCACAGTGTAGGTGCCTTCATTCTCAATGGTGAACCGATCCATCACCATCTCAATGACGCCAGTTGATTTGTCACACTTGATTCTGTGTGTCTGCAAGTAAAGGGACAGGGAGTCACCCCACGGAATCCCTTGGCTCCCTCCCTCCCTGCACTTAGAAGTTGCATTGACTATTGTGACTTAGGGGCTGGTGCTGCAGAGTAACACAGTGAAATGTCATCAACTCAGCCTCTGGTGGACCACGGACCAAAGAGCAGGAGCCTGCATCCTGACAAAGCCCAGGTTCCCTGGGGACATCCCTGGAAGTGCCACCCCACACACTCATGCCCAGCATGGAAGCCTTGTACCCAAAACAAGCATCTGTGCAAACAGTTAAAATCCAACAGAGAAAGAAGAAAGAAGAGACCCCATGCACAGAGCTACGACTGTGCGGCCCTCATCACGGTGGTCCTCAGTCCCTGGGGTGCACAGCCACAGCCTCTGCAGTGCGGCCCACGTGGGTGCAGCAGGCTCTGCTGAGCACAGATGCAGCACAGCAGGCTTGAGACCTTGCCCCCAATGCCATCCAGYGCACTCAGGATACAGGTAGGGGAGGACCTCCTCAGGGAGGTCTGGCCTCCCTGCCTCCTTTGCTCTGTGTGGGAGAGCTGGAGGGAGGCCTCACCTCACATTTTTCAGTGCAGCCTGTCCCCCAGCTCCCGAGCCTCAGTGTCTGTATCCCAATGACAATCTGGTGGCCCTCTTGCCCTTGACCCGCTCGAGCCCCACTTCTTGTGATAGTCCCCAGGAGAGACTCTCCAGTCACCTTTGGGTGAGGCTGGATGCCCTCCTGTGGGTCTCTGTATCCCCCATCCAAATGTCTCCYTGCTGGCTCACTAGCAATGGGTCCTGGAGAAGCCGGCATCTCTTATCTGCAACCTCTCCCAGCACCCAGCACTGCACCTAGCCAGCAAAAATCACCAATAAAAGTAACATAATAAGTCAGCCCCGTGGAGAGGCAGCGGGCTCTCCCTGTGGCCTCCTGCAGCTGTGGCCTGGCACTGGGGTTTCCTTGGGGGCATCCTAGTCCTTGAGCCTTCCTCTCTCTCCACCTGTGAGTTCTGAGCTGCCTGCGGCCCTGCAGAAGGAAGCAGCTCCCTCTAAGTGCCTGGCTGGGACAACCACGCACCTGAAGATGAGCCAGGCAGGACACGGGCCTCAGGGATACGCACTAACAGGGAGACTAACAGATGCAAAGTCACGCTGCATGGAGGGAACAGGGACAGAAGGGGCACGGTAGGTGAGGGCCACGGGGCTGTCGGWGACCAGGCGAGTCTCCTGGATCAGAGTCAACTGGGAGGTTGCACCAGGACCTCCCTTCTCAGTCCCTCCCTGTCCTTGACACTTCCCTTCCTTCAACAGCCACCCACTCCCCAACCACACCAGCATGCCCTGAGCACACAGCCCATCTGGGTGGCCCTGGKTGGTGACCTTCAATGCCTCCAGCCTAGCCACACCTCACATGCCCTGAGACTCTGCCCTCTCGCTGTGTGATGAGCCACAGACACGGGAAGGTTTTATGGTTGCTCAGGTGCTGTGTTTGATTCACCCCCAGATAATGCACCATCTGAAATTAAGCAGGGGTGGTGGAGGAAGAGCCACACCCACGTGAATGAACAGCTCGTCCCAAATGCAGCAGGAACCTGGGGGAGCCCAGACTCAAAGGGCAGGGCCCAGGGCACCTCCTGTAAATCACAGCAGGACTGACTCCTCTGCCTGACCTCCCCGCACCCCGGGGCCTGAGCTAAAAACAGGCCGTATTTGTCAAGGATGTCCTGGTTTTAGGCATGAAAGTGAGGGCCCTCAGGAAGCATGACAGAATGAAAGCCCAGCCACCTGTGTGAGCCCAGGCCTCCGCACCCTCCCCTCGGGGCTCCACAGGGAATTCCTACCTGCCCATCTATTCCCACAATGTCCCTTTCTCATTAAGGCTGCTTCTGGTTTTTATACCCAAACTCCAGTGGCAGAAGAGAGACGCCACAGCAGAAAGCCACCAGGTGAGGAGCAGAACACTTCCAGCCACCCCTGGGTGCATACCGTCCTCCGGGCTAACTGCAATGCAGCTGTTGTGAATATCTGCAGTGCGACTTCAGGTTTTAAGAGAATAGAGCCTGCTCCCCCACCCCACGCTTCGTCTTCATGAAACCTCAAATCACCTGTACAATGAGAGTTTCCAATACTCACTGTTGAAAACCACAACATGTGGGAGAGAGCAGGACATGTGTTCCAAGGTGACCTGCAAGGGGAATCTACATGACAGAGGGTGGGGCAAAGGGGAAGGCGTGGTCCCGCCTGTTTGGGGAGGGAATGAATGACAGAGGCACAGCAGCAACACTGACCCTCGACCTTGGAGCTGAAGCAGTGTGAGACCACACCTGAGCCGGAGGAGGACCCCTGACCCTGCGAGAGGCCCACCCAGGCCTGCAGTCTCCAGCCTAGCAGACTCTCCTCAGCTCTGATGAGCGTGAAGGCAGGATTCTCACCCACCAGACCCTCAGCAGTGCCACAGTCTTTTCTGCACTGCAGTATCTGGGCAGATTTCAGAAAAATAATTAGGTTTCCTGCTACTGCCATTATGCAGCAGATAAAGTTCAATGATTCTGTGAGTGCCAAAAACACAGGATTTTATGTGACCTTCACAAAGCAGCATCAGTCTTCAAGTGTAAAGGCTTCCTGTGGGTTGCTAATTAAGAAGTGAAATAGTGCACCACATTCCAAAGTGTAGCCGGGCAGCCAGGATACAATCTCTAAAGATTGTAGGAAAAGCAGGTAGGAAAAGCTAATTAAAAGATGTTCTGCAAATGAAGCGCAATTACACTGAATTCCGCTTCATCTCTTGGCGTGATCTCTGCTCAGAGAGACACCTCTCCGGCCACCCTATCAGGCAGTGCCTCCCGATGATGGCACCTGGACAGCTGGCTCTTCTGCAGCCCAAAGAATCTACGTGCTCTCCACTAGCCAACTCTGCCACCCGGACAAGTCCTAAAGCATGCTGTGATTCCCTCAGGACAGACTGAGCAGATCAGGTGATGAGTATGCGATCCTCGTCCATGTGAGATTTCTATCTGAAGGACTGCAGTTGACCCCTCTTGGCTTTGCAGAATAGCAGGACTGAAGATGAGGCGGCCACTCGGGAGAAGAGAACTGGGCTGCCCACATGGCCTGGTGACCCGTGCACCTCGAGCATGACCAGGGCATCAGGACGTGACAGGCCAGCTGAGTGCATCAATGACACTCACTCAGTGTCAAGAGAAGAGGGGTCAGAAGAGCTCACAAGGATCCGAGAGGCACCAACCCCACCACCRAATAATACAGACCCCTTCAAATAGGTGGACCCCTGACGGGGTGCGCTGGCGTGCTGTATCAGCAAGAGGGAACAGATCCCACAGGACCCACACCTCAGAGAGCACAGGAGGACTCCTGAGGGGCCTATGGTCATGGTGAGGCTTGTCTTACAATTAAGGCAGAACAGGGCAGAGGTCCACAGGGTGGCTTAGCCGCCCCTGGCCAGATCAGATGTTCCACAAGAAGGCAGCAGTGTGAAGCTCCAGTGTGCTGCTTCTCCCATGGGAAGGCATCGGGGACAGGATGCAGGAAGGTTCTCAGGACAGAGACAGAATTCAAGCCCTCCAGGCCACCCCCAGAGGAGCTGCTCAATGGGGACATTTCCCCAGGTCCAGAACCTCTTCATAAGGCTGAGCTCCGAGTCCCTAGAACCTAATTTGTCATTTTTGGATTCCAACAGGCTTGGATTTCAAAGACTACTGAGTCTCATCCAACCCAGAGCAATCTCTGAGCACCTCGAGGACCCGCCATCTTCACTGTCTTGTCAACCGCCTACCCCCAGTTTCCAAAGCTCAAAAGGAAGGCGGACACACAGAATACTGATCCAGAGCCATAGATGGCCACCAAACCCGGCTCCACCAGGGCCACAGCATGCTCCAGGAACTCACCTCGCTGTCTGAGACCTCTCTGTCATTAATGACGAATCGGAAGCTGGCGTCTGGCGATAATTGCTCAGCCTGGAGCCAGAAGCGGACCTGGCCCTTGTCGAAAATCTCATAAGCTAATTCTGATTTCAGAGGAATGGCTGCAGGAGGAAGGAAACCTGAAGTCAATGCCCTGTCCTCGTGGGGAGGAGCGCAGCYGATCGCAGGAAAACATCAGCCTGAAACACGGGACAGCACAGCCCTGGAGAGCTGCACTGAGCACTGGAACCAGAACTCAGGGTGAGTCGGTGAGGAGCCTGTGCGTCACTGACGCCTCGCACCCTGTCCTGGGGGCCCCTTCAGGGTGCCGTCTGCCACTGCAGCTGCCTGTGTTCCTCCGTGCTCAGTGCGACTCGGGACTGAAGACAGCATTTGATAGACACATTGTTGTAGCTCTCCAGAGTATCAAGAGGCACTTGCAACTGTAGTTAGAGCCCACAGGCTGGGACCCGGGTGGGTCTGCCCTGCCCTGGGGAGCTGCCCCGTGGGCTTACAAGTATGCAGCAGGGCAGCAGATTACTTACTGGGATTCTTTATCTCATTGCTCAGCGCCATCAAACGCTCAAGCTCTAGAATGAAGAAAACATTTTAATTAATTTTGACCTGTGCATTCAGAAGCCTGTAAACAATAGCTAAACAAGAGCAGAGACTGTGTCACCACGATCCACTGTGAGGATACGGAAGAAATGTGAACTGACAGTGAGAAGATGGCTCGCAGGCTGGGCTGGATAGAGCTCAGTTGGCAGAGGGCTTGCCTCCCATGCACAAGGCCCTGGGTTCAATCCCCAGCWCCACCAAAAAATTAAAATAAGATAAAAAAAAGAAYGCACTTGCTCAGGGGAAGCAGAGGGCAAGGTCGAGCTGCATCTTGGGAAGGAGGAGCTGGGCAGGCAGGCAGCTCCCGGGGAGCTAGAGGAGCCCTCGGGAGAAGACGGAGGCCTAACTCCAAGGGAACTCTCTCCCTGACCTAACCTGGCTGGGAATATGCTCTTTCCTCCCCTTCAAAACTTCCTTCTTGGATCTATTAACAAGAAAGCGTGTACGTGATCAGCCTTCCAGCCCTGACCTGTGCTTTACCATGAGCATAAGAGAGCAGACAGACACACGGCTCTCAGAAAGACCCGAGCAGAGTCGGGGCCACCAGAGCACGGAGCCATTTCTCTCTTCCCCTCTACCCCCTTCCTTCCTAGATCCGGAATCAGAAATGAGATGACGGCCACCAATGTCTGAGCACGTGTATTTGAACTGGAAAATGCCGTCAGACTTTTCCTGACGGAGAGCAAACTCCATCTGGCTGTTGGTCTGACTGTAGGACTGACTGGCTTTCCCATTCAGATTTCCTGGGAGAATGTTCCACAGACTGAATGAGGTACACCTGCAACTCCAAGGTCTCTCCTCAAGTGTAGTTGAAGTCTACATATAGTATAAAACAAGGTGGGAATTTCACCCTTTGCTGTGATTTAAAATTAAAATGGAAAATGTCATATGAAAACTCACAAGTGCAGAGGAATACGTCCACTTTTCAGAATGATTTAAGGGTGTTTTCTGCAGACAGAATTGTTTGAGCCAGGGCCGGCACAGTCAGCCCGTGTATGTGCAGCACACTAGGACCCAGAGCGCGAGGCCGGCGCCCTCTCCCCCACGGCTCTTGCTGCATCTGGCTCACTGCATAAGTTCTCCTGGATTCAGCCAGAGCCACACCTGACGTGTCTCCATCATGGTCTTCCCTGTCCTCCCTACCCGCGGCTGTGACTTGAATGTGCCCCCAAGGTTCATGTGCTGGGGGTTTAGTCCCACTGCAGTGGTGCTGAGAGGTGGGACTGTGTTAAAGCCATGTTCCCAGGCGTGGGCTTGATACCAAGAGAGTGGGGGCTGAAGTAAGGAGGACCTGGGCTTCCCGGGTGATACCCCCATCAGGGGATGAGAGGCAGGAAGGTCCTCACAGACAGACACAGCCCCCGATCTTGGGCTTCCAATCTCCAAGACCATAAGAAAACAAGGCTCTGTTCCCTACGAATCACCAGTCTGTGGTGTCTGCCATGACCAGGAAGCCACCGACCACTCAAAGACTTGCYGGTGTGCCTTACAGTCCCCGGGGGAGCCTGCACCCTGCAGAACTASCTGAGCCGCCTTGGCCTCCAAGGCCCTCAGAGGTCCTGTGACGCTACTGTGGGTGCTGCAGAGCGCCCRCCCCACGGCTGACCTCTTCACAACACTCAGGGCTGAGGGAGCAGGGGAGGGCAGGGCTGGACAGGAGCRCAGAGCCGCCCGCCCCCGGGGTGGGGATAAGACAGCCCCCTGCCTCAGGCCTTTGCCTATGAACTCAGTGGACTGTGCACAGGCCGACTTCTCCCCCACCCCAGCCCTCCTCCACCGTCTGTACTCTCACCAAGAACACTGTGAAACCTGAGCCCCCACGGCTCTGTGTGGCAGAGACCACCCACTCTGGATTTGCTGGATTGTAAATTTTGACTCCTTTGAATACGCCGCCTTTTGCCTCCAACAAACACCCCTTCTCTAGTCAAACAGGGGGATACAGAAGTCGGTACCAGAATCGCTCTTTGAAAGCATGAATAAAAACAAAACAGCAAGCCTGCGTCATTTAGATATTACCTTCCTCATCCAGAACAAAACTGGAGGACACGCCATCCGTGTCACTCACGGACACCGAATAGGTCCCCACGTCCACTTTATCTGGATTCTTAAAGTACAGCTTCGAGCTGGAAACAGAGACAGAGCTGGGTGAGCTCCTGCTGCTGTCTGGGATGTCCAGGGTTCCCAGCACCCGCCCCCGGGGGCTCACTGGTCGCCTTCCGTGTGCACGCTGAACCGCTCCTCATCGGCTATCTCCTCGTAGGACTTGCACCAGGTGAACTGAGAGGCGTCCGTCATTTCCTGGCAGTCAAAGCTCAGGTAGATGTTGCCTTCCTCGTCCACGCCAGCGCTGATTTCCTTCGTGCCTGCAGAGCAAGGGTGACTGAGCCTGGCAACAAGTGTCCTGTCTTCTGAGGTGGTGGCACAGGTGAAGAGCGTATCTATGTCTAATCAGCACTTTCACTTCATGTCCACTGACCCAGATGGCCGAGGGGGAGCAGGGCACTCAAGGGAGCTCTGGACTGGCCGCTTAGGTCACCACATTTCTGTCCACTTCCTTTCCGTGTCCAGTACTACCTAGAAGGCCAGGGGCTGCCTCTCAGGCCTGATCCCTTTCTCCCTGAGGCCTAACCTGCCCTCACCTATGCTGGCCAACTTCACCCACACAGGTGATTATCTTGGTTCTGGGGAGTACTGCTTGTTTGCTGAGTCCACCCAGGGGTGGAGCCATGGCCAACATGTGGCCAGCCAGAATTCAGCTCTTAGAAATCAGGATGGGATACTGTCCAGGGCACAGTGGTGCACATCTGTTATCCCAGTGGCTCCGGAGGCTGAGGCAGGAGGATCATGAGTTCAAAGCCAGCCTCCGCAATTTAGCAAGGCCCTAAGCAACTCAGTGAGACCCTGTCTCTAAATAAAATACAAAATACAAAAATACAGTGATTAAGCTTCCCTGGGTTCAATCCCTGGTACCAAAACAAAAAAGAAGGAAAGAAACTGGACGGGAGGGGCACAGCTCGACCTCTGCSGGAGAGCAGAACTGAGGCCACAGGATACAGATGCTCTCAAGCTTCCAGAGGATGGAGAAGTCACAAAGAGACAGCAGAACTAAATGAACAAGAGTCCACAGGACAGTGAAGGCCCCAGAGGACACAGCAGGGTCTCTGCGAGTGGCTCCATCACCTCCCACAATACAAGCTGTTAGAGTCTGTAAACAAGTCAGGATGGCGCCTGGCTTTTGCCAGAGGGAGTGGTTTGTGAAGTAACGCCAGCGAGCCATTAAGTGTGGAGATTCCTTATTGGTTGACTGCTGTATCTAGTTTATGTTAATTAAGATAAGCTGTGTGGAGTGTACATATACCCCTCCTGTCCTACAATAAACGGCTCCCACTCCTGCTGTAGCAATCTACACAAGTTCCTCTCCACCCCCCGGCTATTTTGCTGCAGCCGGACTGCAGCAACAAGCCACACACCTGTACACAGATCCCAGGAGCTATCCTGCCCAGCGGTCTCCTTTTTATAACTCATTGCAACCAAGAAAATACCAGACAGCTTTATAAATTTCTGATCTAAACTCAGCAGCTACACAAGAAGCCACCTTCCTTCCMGAACGTCATGATGACCAAAAGCACTGTCCTCCTGCCCTGGGTCTCAGAGCACGAGCAGAGGTGGAGTGCGACTTTATTTCTTGTGCTAACGCCAATCTGCCCCAAAACTGCAGGGGCGCCCTTTCCCTCACCCAGCCACCCGAGCAGCCCCCTGCACGTGCCCCTACGGCTGCTCCGCGGCCTTGGCGGCTCTCACCTGGCCTGGCCTCCACCAGCACAGGCTCTGACGTGTCGGAGGGCTTCCCCGGCCCACTGGCGTTCACTGCCCTCACTCGGAACACGTACGTCCTACCTCGATGCAGGTCACAGACCTTGAGAAGACAGGGGAGTGTCAGTGTAGGTAGGAAACACCGACTTTGCCATGTTCACGTCTTAAGGTGAGCACACCTTCCTTCCTTTAAAACGCTTTTCTGGTTGGAAAAGCTGCACTGACCGAGCAGCAGAGAGGGAAAGAGATGCACACCAGGCCCATCTCGCTTCAGGAAGAAACACKTTAGGGTATCTAGCGTTCTCTTCTGCACATTTGAAAGCACAATTAAATCATTTTGACTAGATTGCAATCTGCTGTTCAGATTTAACTATGTTAAACTATGTTTGACACAGAGCCATGAGGCGAAATATTCTCTTAGGTGTGATCTGTGACTGCAAAACGGTCACTTGGACACATCAAAACGAAGTCAGCTACTTCCCATACACAGACATGCGGGCCGTCCTGGGTGGAGAGTGGGGTTCTCAGAGCCCATCTCTTCACTCACCAGCAGCGCTTCCCAGGGTGCAGAGGGCGCCGAGAKTGAGCACCCAGAGCCTGATGCAGGCGTGGCATCTAACCATACCCCAGGCCCAYACCAGGAGGGATCACGGGGCAGCTGGCAAGCCTCCAGGCACAGGGGCCTGCAGGACCGAGGACAGCTGTCATAGCCACCCAGGAACATACGTCCCAAGTGCTAAAACAGGAATGTTTGGAGAGAGGACTGAGCCACGTTCACTGTGTGCACTCACATCAAGTGACGTCTATCCGTGTCACCTGAGCTATGTAGAGAGCTGTGGGTGGAAGGGGCATGACACAGCCTACAGGTCACCCCTGCTGAGAGCTCCTGGGTCCAGATGTCAACATGGACGGTGGCAGTGCTGGACTCTGTTAGACTGCGGCATGGCCAGGTCAAGGGCAGGCCACACAGCCCCTGCCACCCACTCCCGGGCTCTTCCTGCCCGGCCAGGCTCCTGCCCTCACTGTGCAGAGCCCAGGAGGGTCAGATCCAAGGAACTGAACAAGTTCCTCAGGGGCTTGAGCAAAAACACCTTCAGGTAAAAGGAAACCATGAACGAATCACCTTCAAATAACGATTTGGAGTTGCCACCTCATTCACCGTCTTCCATTCCCCAGAATCTTCTTCCTTAAAATCCACCAAGTACCCAGACACAGGACTGCTTCCTGCATACACGGGGGCCTTCCACAGCATGACCAGAGAGGTGTCCCGGACCTCACAGAACGTCAAGTCATAGGCAGGACCTGCAGAGCCAATTGGACCTGTGCTCAGCCAGCTCGCACACCCTGATCTCTGCCACCGGCAAACAGGCCGGGACCTCCCCACRTCCTCCTCATGACACCGAGGGCTCGCCCTTCCTGGAAGGACTGTCCTGATGCTGGGCTGGGGCTGGGGAGAGCCCAGCTCTGTTCTGCAGCTCCCCTGGCCTCAGGGAGATAGTGGGTGTGCAGCCATGGCCCAGGCCAGCAGGTGGCATCAGAGAGAGGAGTGCAGAAATGGGCAGGTGCGTGCTGCAGCCACTGGCATGGAAACCCGAGGCCAGCTAGCGCATGGCCCCTCTGCTCTCTACAACACCAGGTAKGCCTCAAGCTGTCTGCTGCTGATTCCCAGCCCCAGACGGGCTGTGGACAGGAAGGGAAAGCTGCCCAGCAGGTGCCATCTTAACTAGAACACCAGGGTCTAAGCAAGTCGGCAAGGTGCCCCGTGACAGCCCTGGAAACAAGAGGGTCTTCTCCTCTGGACTTCCCTCAGGGCCCACAGTCGGCTTCACTAGAACAGGCAGGGCAGAGAGAAGGAAGGAGGGCAGGGGAGGGAGCTAGAAAGAGGAGGAGGGAGGAGAGATGTCTGCTGTGTCCACTCCCGGGGCCCTGGCGGCTTCCCCCTGCCTGCCCTCTTCTCCTGCCTTGGGCTCCTCTCTGTTCCCAGGAAGCAGTGGCTGGGGCCACACCCTGGGAACATGGACCCTCCAGTGGCTTGGTCAGCCATCCGTCCCTCCCACTGGCTGGCCCTTCCTCTGCCCACTGCCTGCTCCTGAGCACCCTGCCTGCACTGCGACCCTGTGGCTGCTCGGCCACTCCCAGGCTCGGCTCGTGGGCTCTGCCATCGTCGCCAGGTCTGCTCACTGGGAGGGGAGGGCATCCACCTCAGCTGCCCACCACACGCCTCCTGGAAAGCCCTCTGGCYAGCCCAGGTCTGGGTGGTGTGTTCAGGGGCGCGTCTCACCGGGTTCTGGTGCTGTCCAYGCCTCGCACTTGAAGAGCTCACTGGGGTCCGATGGCTGTCCGATCCCCGCCAGGTTGACGGCAGCGATTTTGAACTCATATAATGAGCCCTCCACCAAGCCCTCCACCTGCGCAGATTTGCCTCAGTTACTACAGGAAATAACGCGCATCYCGGTCCACTGAGGAGGGGGCATTACGGTGGTCTGTCAATGAGTCCCGGGGAAGGGTCCTTGTGGGAAAACTAGATCCCCTAAAGAGAGCTGTTGACAGGCCCAGCAAGCTGCAGGCCCAGGTCAGACCATTCACCCCTTGACACTCCACAGGATGACAGGACATGCCCTRGGGTGGTACGGAAACTGAGGCTGAGAGAGGGGTCCCACAAAGAGCACACACAGGTGAGCAGAGCAGGGGCCCCTGAACCCTGCCGGTCCCTGCAGACCCCAGACCTAGTCCTGGCATTGTGGGACGGAGCTGCAGCACCCGCAGGAAGCCCACCTCAGGCCTGGCTGAGTGCCACAGGCAGCCCACCCCCGCCCCACCAGGCCACCTGCTCTGCAAGGTGAGGGCCTCGCTGGCAGCTCCCGGGGCAGTACAGCCCTTGTCTACGTGGGGCCTGCAGACTTGCCAGCTATGGGTGAGACCTGGGGAAGGCCTCAGCCAGGACACGGGCTTCGGCCATGTCCAGCACCTGCTCTCTAGAACTCTAGAAAAGAGCTCCCAGAACAAGACGTGGCAGTTAAAGGTTCCCACTCCCTGGAAAGCAGAGCCCATCCTCATTTAGGCTACTTGCACCTAAAAAAGAGGAGGGTATTTTTCTCAGGAACAGAGAACCCAATAGAGAACATCTAGAGGTTGTGGCTGAACACAGCAAATATAAACAGGGTCACATCAAACCTGGGTTTTGGCCACATGTATTATAACATGCATGTATCATGACMTGCTCCATATGAAGCACAGACCATAAAGATAAAACATCACAAAGCAGAATTTTCTGTAAGACAGAGAGTAGACTTTGCCCCAAAGCCCTTGTCTCCCAGCATATGTGGCCCCTGTGAGATGCATCATTACCAGAAGCTAATGACAGCTCCGGTGGCTCTTCCCATGCCCATGAGGAGCCAGAGGCTCGGGCAAGTGGACTGTGAAGCCCAGGGCTGCCTGGCTTTGCCTGTGGCCCTCCCTCAGTCCCCCTCTCTCCACGCTGCGGACAACGTGCACCGTGGCAAGGGACCACTCAGGATTTCATAGGAAAGGTGCAGCACATTGCTGTACAAGCACCTGCTCAGCACCACTGGCCCAGCACTGGGCTCTGCACCAGCTGAGCACGTGACAGGGCGCCTGCCTTCCAGATGCTAGAGCTCCAACAGGGACCCAGCTGGTCACCCACTGTTTGCAGATCCCTCAATTACTCATTACTGCCTCAATTACTCCTTTACTTCTTCTCAGGAAAAAAAAAATGTTGCCTAAGATCTTTCCAGATCCAAAACTCCATGGCCTCACGATGCTAGGATTTTTACACTCACTTATTTCCTTATCAAACCACCTAAGGTCATCAAGCTCTGGAACACTGAACAGAGAGTGCCAACATTCCCAGGCCAAAAGAAAAGGGAAACCCACCGTTAAGATCCTCTGCTGAACAGGAGAGGAGTTGACCTCATGCCAGTTCTTGTGGTGAGCTTCACGCTTGTCTATATAATAACCCAGGATGGCTGAGCCGCCGCTGAACTTGGGCACCTTCCAGCCCAGGGTCATGGTGTGACCATCACAGTTCAGAAGTGTGATCCCATATGGGTGGGATGGGACGGCTGCAGGAAAGCACAGTGTACAAGTGACCCGCCTGGCACYGTGCCCTCATCTCACCCCATGGGTGTGGGGCAGGGATGGACCCATGCCCCTCCAGCTCTCCCTCCTGCCTCTGACCCTGGCCCTTTAAAGGTGATGAGTGGATGGGTAGACAGCTTCTCTCATGGACAGCGCTGCTCTTTCTAAATGCATCTACCAGTGTTTGCAGGATGCAAGGCACCGCACCGTCTCAATCTGGTCTGGACAGTGGACCACAGAAGGTTCCCTTCGTGGCCCACTAAGGAGAACTCAGAAGGAAGAGCCACCACGGGGCGTGGCCCGGGGGGACCAGCATCGATCCCCGTGCCTTTTGGCTTCCTGCAACCGTGGAGGCTTGGATCGAAGCAGATGCTCATGAGAGCACATTTCCCACGTTGGGAAAGGGCCACCTCGTCCTAGGAAGTTAGCAAGAATCCAACAGCTTCCCTGACTGAGCCACCTGCAGCCTCTGCCCCCAGTACTGAGGGCCAGCGGCTGACTGGGAGCACTGGCCCACCTTCCCTAGGGTGGGCTGAGAAGGCAGACAGGCGCTTGGACGTCCCTCCTGGGAGAGCTGGGAAGGACCAGACCTTGAGCAAAAATGGGGCTAACTCCTCGCCCTGGAGCCCTGCACCTGGTCAGACCTGACGTTCCTTGGAGATCCCAGCAGGGAAACCTGAACTTCCAAAAATGTTTGTAAATTTAATTGCAGATGAAAAACAATAAAACAGCCACCACTGTCTCTCAGAAGTGAAAGGAAAATACTTGATTCAAAATGTGTGACAACTGTGTTTTGAAACATCGCTGAATGTGACCAAAGATATGGTGTGTTCCATAGGAAAGATCCACAGCAGCCCTCACAGACACTGAGCTCACAGATCAGCCTCAGTTCAAAGGTTCAAAGGCAGCCTCAGCAACTTAGCAAGACCCTGGCTCAAAATAAAAAATAAAATGGGTYGAGGATGCAGCTCAGTGGTTAAGTGCCACTGGGTTCAGTCCCTGGAACCAAAAAAATGAATAAAATAATAGTTACAGGCCATTGGTGGTTCTGTTTCCACACACTTTGAAAAGAGAAAGTCCTGCCCTGCGTGCGGCCTGCCTTTTAGTGTGAAGGGGGCCTTGGGAATCAAGCTGCCTGCAGTGGTGTCTGTCTCCCTTGGGGATTTAGGGGCACCCCCTTGCTTCCCCCCACACTGTCATTTCCACACAGCAGCCAGCTGACCAGAGGCCTCAGCAGAAGGCCTGTGCTCCCCCAGCCAGAGTCCACCCCTGTCCTCCGGTCCTCTGCAGTGCACCCTGAGAGCTTCTTCATGCAGAACCCATGGCACCCTCGAGGACACCCACAGGTTACGCACTCAGGGCCGCCTGGACCTTGATGACTTCCGACTCCTGCGAGTTCTCGCTCATGCCCACAGCGTTGACGGCTTTAACACGGAAGATGTACTGCTCGCCCGTGGTCAAACCGTGCACCACAAACCTGGGAAGACAACAGCGTCATGGCACAGGCTCATCTAGGTCCTTCTCCTGCAGCTCTTCAGACAAAAMGCTCCCTTGGACTAAGACCCAGCCAGCTTTCCTACAGGAGCACCACACGGCCTTCATTTTCAGTCTCCRTTAACTGATTCAGCATCTGGCAGCACAGCATCAGACACACCAGGAGCGGCCAACCTCGCACCAGAGTCACTGATTCTGAGCCTCTGCCTTTACTTGTGATTTTCTGGGTCTTGTCCAAATCAAAGGCCTTTTGAAAATAAATATCCAGCTCCTGGCACTCGGGAACCACATGCATCTAGAACTGAAAGAGAAGCCACCAAACTGCAGACAGGACAGGCTGACGGTGCCCTTGGCAGACAGTGTGTCCTCACCAGACCCGGCCCCACAGGGCTCTGTGCTCCTATCTGTACGGCGGGTGTGATGAGACCTGCTTGGGGTGGCACTATGAGCTTTCAAGGGGAAACGACAAGAAAGCACACAGCCAGCCAGCCTGCGTGTGGCGAGCATCCAGTGAACCCCAGCGATGGCCATCTAGCTCATGTAGTGGACATTCATGTGAGAACACTGCTGATGCTCTTGTTCTGCTCGGTCTTTCTCCATTTGGGGCCAAGGACTCTTGGACCATCCAGCTTTGCTCTCCTCAATTCCTCCTGCCTTTGCTAACCATAGCTTTTTATAGCATGCTTTTTAAAAAGATTTTAAATTGAAAACTGCCACCCCATCATTGCTAACCACCCACAGGGCCATTGTTTGGCTGCCTGTATTTTCCTGCATAGAGGCCCACCCACCRCGGGCCCTCCCTGCACTCGGCCCGACCTGGGTGTAGTGAGTTCCAGGAGTCGCGGTGCTAGCTTCGGCCCTGTGCTGCCTGCCACAGACTGACATGGCAGCCCCACTTTCCCAGTCGGGGCTGAGTGAAGCAGGGCTGCCTGAGGTCTGCATGCACAGAAGCCGCAGCAGACCCCAGAAACACGCAMCACTGCCTACGTAGGGTCATTGCACACTAGGGGTGTGAACCCAATTGTCCCACTGAACCCCATAAATTTGTACAACTACAATAATAACTGAAAAAATAGAGGCAAAGTTCAAAATGTCAGTATGGAAAAACAAAGCTCCTGGCACGTCGTAGTCACCGTCTTAACCCTCCTGCTTCCTGCAAAGTCCTCTGTGGCAGTAAGAAGAGCTCAGACGGGGGCAGTCTGTCTGATGGACAGACATCAACTCCATGGAGAGCAGCTGGCACAGTGCCAGCTCACCGTGTGGGCAGAGCTTTAAGTTACCCACCCCTTTCTGTGACCAGCCTAACAGACGGTGTCTAGGGGTGTCCCAGACGTCGGCCCTGCTCTGGAGCTGGGGTGTGTGCTCTGCCTGCCCACCGAGGCAGTGTGTTGCTCGGGGGCAGCAGGTGGGGCACCTGTTGTATCCGATGGGCTTGTGGTTGCACGGCTCCCACTGGTTAGTCCCAGCCACGCAGCAGTCCACGTAGTAGCCCAGCAGGGCCTCCTCGTGCTTCGGCCTGTCCCACTGCACCACCACGGATGTCTTGGTGTTCCGCGAAGCAAGGACTCGGCCAGGGGCAGAAGGGGCCACTGCGGGGGGACAGAGGGTCAGCACACAGGAGTTGAAGGGGCCACTGCAGGGGGACAGAGGGTCAGCACACAGGTGTTGAAGGGGCCACTGCAGGGGGACAGAGGGTCAGCACACAGGTGTTGAAGGGGCCACTGCAGGGGGACAGAGGGTCAGCACACAGGTGTTGAAGGGGCCACTGCAGGGGGACAGAGGGTCAGCACACAGGTGTTGAAGGGGCCACTGCAGGGGGACAGAGGGTCAGCACACAGGTGTTGCCGCAGAGAGCTGGGCTTTTCCCCAGGGAATGGGGAGCTGGTGGGAGCTGCAGGTGGAACGTGGACAAGGAGCAAGGGAGATGGGGCTGCAGGGTGCTCTCCCCACACCCCACACGACCCCCCAAAAGGAACTGTCATCACAAGTCCACAGATAGATCACGGGAAGGACAGATTCTCCTGGCTGGGCCAGGCTGCTTTCCAAACGCAAGTCACACCCTCTAAGCAAATAGGGTGCCTGGAGGAAGGGGAGCCAGAATCAAATCAGTCTGACCCTCTGACCTTTCCCCCCTGCCAGGCCCCCGTGGGCCGTGGCCACTAGCATTTCAGCCCTTGGTGTCACCAACATCCCTRGAACCAGTTAGCTCACCACCTCAGCCACACGCCCCCTGTTGCCACTTACTGTCACTTTCTGTGTGTGCCAATCAGCCAAACAGGCTGCTTCTGCAAGGTGGCGGCAGTGTCCAGCCTGTGGGTCTAGACTTGAGCCCCAGAAGCCTGAGTAACTGAACCAGGGCATCCAAGACCTGGGGCAGCTGCGACCCCACTCCCCATACAGCCTCCCCACCTGGTTCATTTAGTATCTGCCTTCCCATGAAATATGGCTTGGAGTGGGGAGGAGACACCTGGGCCAGAGTGGGAATCCTAAGCCAGCTCTCGTGGGAGGCCCAGGGGGAGGGAGGCCTCCTGCTAGCTGCTGGGCTTCAGCGTGGACTTCGAGTCAAACATCCCAAGGTTCACATTCGAAAGCTTCCAAGAGGGTCTTCCAAGCCACACGGTCAAGAGGCTGAACCATGCTGAGGGCTGGACCCTGGCCTGAACCCACTGTCGGCCCCTTTGCTGACTTCATGGAGACGAGACAGAACTTTGGAGGACTGTGGAGAACTGACCAGAACCTGGTGAGTTGAGCTGAGGACTCAGCTCAGTGGTTAAGTGCCACTGGGTTCAGTCCCTGCCCTGCTGGTAAAATGGGGTCCCACACCAACGTGCCCTGTGGTGCACACGACACTAGGGACTTCTTCCACTGGTCTCCAAGGTCACCTTGCTGCTGGCCTGTCCCCRAGCCTGGCTGCTCACCATGACCACTTACCAATGGCATCCTGAGCTTGGAKGGGGGGCGTTATTTCCGACGGATCGCTCAGGCCATGCTTGTTGGCTGACAGAACGCGGAACACATACGACTTCCCCTCTGCAAGGTCAAAGACCGCGTACCGAGGGGACCTCACGGCCGTCTGGGCATTGACACGCTGCCAGCTGCCACTCCCAACCACAGACTGCAGAGGGAAGGGCAGAATTAAACCAGAGACCCCGGGAGGGCAGAGGAAGACAGCATCCAGCTGCCACACCATGGCATCCCGCACRGAGGACCACGAGATGTGCCCGTCCTGCACCGTGGACGGTAAGACACCCCTGTCCTGCACAGAGGACATTGGGAGCCTCTGTCCCACACAGGGGACAACAGGACTCGTTTGCTAATTATATGAAAGGGATTTGGAGAAGTGGGTAAGAAATTGCCCAGGTTGGAAATTTTATTAATAAACRTGATTCTGTTAAAGTGAAGGCATTTTAGCAGCATAAAGGAATCAATACGCAGGTTGCAATTTCCATAAAACGGAAGGGCCTATATACAATTAAAGGTACGTTAGGAGAATATTCACAGAACCCCACTGTCGCTTGGTGGCTTACCCTGATGCAGCTGCCTAGAGGGTGCTGGTGTGATGGGCCTGTGACCCGAGCTGCGAGCRCAGCCAGGTGTGTGTGTACGAAGAGCCTGTGGCCACCTGCATGGTGGTGTGGAGGTCTCTAACCGATGACAGGGTCCTGCCATCTTGTATAGCACAAGAGGCCTGTGGGTGACGTGCCACACATAAAAGGCCATGAGGCAGGCTGCCAACACGACCCTCGGGGTGACAGCACTGTTTCACCTCTTGGAACCATGGTGAGTCGGACTTCACCAGGGCTCCCGAGTCTCCACGTTTCTGTACTGCATAGGTAATGTGTCTCCTTGGTCACGGCTTCCAAATCTCTATTAAATGTCCCTCGACTTTTCCCTCCAGAGGGAGACTGCCTTCTGAAGGCAGGGTGCCCGGGACGGGGTGCCTGTGAGCCTGCTGAAGCCTGCAGGAGGAGCAGGTGTTTGGGGAGCAGCCACAGCCCTGGGAGTGACATTCACCTGGAAAGGGGAGATCGCCTCTCGGTTTGGCAGAAGTAAAAGYCATCTTTTGAAATCTTGCCGTCCTGGGGTGGAACCCGGGCATGCTCTACCACTTACTCATCTCCAGTCCTTTTGTATTTTGAGTCAGGGTCTCCCTAAATCGCACAGGTGGCCTTGAACYTGCCGTCTGCCTGCCTCAGCCTTCGAGTCCCTGGGATTACAGGTGGGCACTGCCACAGCTTTCAGGAAGGCTTTGTGGAGCCAGCTGCTGAGGGAGGGCCCCCTGATGCCCTGAGGACTGCCCCATGGCTCTAGCCGGATGGCGGAGGGAGGCASGTCTCCTGTCGGAGGAGGTGAACACAGCGAGGCAGGAGCCTGGGAGCTCCCACCCATCACTCCCAGTCTGCCCGTCCTGGCCTCTGCCAGTAAGAACCAAGGCCCCGACTCCCTGGCCCAAAGGTGGACCCTCCTCCTAAAACGTGTCCGCAGGTTCTTGGTACGGCATGGGCAGAAGGAGAGCAGGGCCGTGTGGGGAGGAGGTGCCTCCACCAGGGATAGGCCGCGAGTGGGTGCCCTGTGTGCTTCTGTGGTGCCCACAGCACCTGCTCATGCAGAGTAAGTAGCACTGCCTGGGCGGCTGGCCTGCTGGCCAGTGGGGGCCGGGTGTCGCCAGGCACAGTCTGATACTTCGCTCCTCTCCATCCACCTCCTCACGGAGCTGTGTGGTGTGCCACATGCTCACACTGAGAGTTACGCCCACACTGCTTGTGCACACCATGCACTGAGCTCTACGTTGAGCAAATTACAAAACCTTAGCTGCAGGGTTTCTAAGACTTGACAGTGTTGTTCCACCATAGCCCACAACCCAACAGTGGGTCTCCAGATCAGTCGAGTGCCGCAGCCTGCATTGCCAATGCAACAGAAGAGGCTGATTGAGAAGGCCTACTGCATCCAGGGCACCTGTGCCTGTGTACCCGCGGCACCCGCGTGTGGGCATCCTGGGCTGCAGTGCACTCTGCCTTCTCTAAGTGTGTCCCCGTCATCGAGGCCTCAGGCACTGGCCTGATCCTTAGCCTAAGCCTGCTCCACCAGGTGGTTCCCTCTAAGACCACCACCCAGTGGGCACAGGCTGCATTTCTCAGGACCTGCAGCACTGGGGGCTGGAGGAAGTCTGCAGATCCCTTGGGCTCAGCTGGGCACGGAAACCAGAGAGGAGAGCCGCAGCTCTGCTTGCACTGGGTGGCAAAGCCCAGGTAGGACCCCTTCCCCTGGAGCCAGGTCCCACTCCAAGACACTCCACACAGTCACAACTCTGCCCCCCCATTATCCCTGTGAGTGTCTGTGGAGACCAGTGGGACCCAGCCCTTCTGTCAAGCACAGCAAAGGGACAGCATGAGGTCTGCTGGCCAGGGTCTGAAGAGATTACCTTCTCAATGAAATACATTAAGGGCTCCTTGCCCCGGGGCGTGGGCGGGTCCCAGCTGAGGACCACGTAAGTTCTGCTGATCTCGGAGGCGTGCACATTGGAGGGAGGGCCTGGGATCTGAACATCACCTGCAGGAGAAAGGAACTGCATGAACCGTGTGAACACCAACCCCAGGCTTCCTGGGTGCAGCCCGGTGGTGCAGCCTGGGCCCTGCTGCTGTCACAGAGCCWTTGGGAAGGCCAACAACCCAGGCTACGGTTTCAGAGCCAGAGCATGAGGCACCTTAGAGATAGTCCAGCTACTTTTCTCTCTGATTTACAAGAGTGTCATCCAAAAGCTGGAAGGGGAAAGGATTTGCGAGAAAGGAATCAGTGTTTCCCCAGCACGAGTTCCCACCCCACTGGGAATGTGTGCAGGAAGACCGCCACCTGCATCTGCCCCGGGCAGCTGTGGACACCGTGCTGGAGCCAACAACCCTCCCCRATGCTTTCCTCCCCTGTGCCCTCCAAGCACTCGACTCACAAGTCAGCTCCTGACACATCCGCTTCTCCCCTCACCCAGGGGGTCTGTGCACATTCACAAGGACCCTGAGCTACGCCTGTGTGCTTGAGCTTCTGCAGGGACATTAGCAAGCAGATGACCAGGACAGAGTATTTGCAACCAGAGACATCCGGCACGCCTCCCTTCTGATCTCATCTTTTTAAAAACGAGGTGAGGTGTTAGAGATCTATACTGGAATTTATAAGAGATTCTTGAAGGGTGGAGGCTTTCCAGACTTGTGGCCCCTTTAATTGTGAAATAAAATCTTGTGAGCTTCCAATTAGATTAGCACATAATTAGAATGGTTGAACTGTCCCCAGGACCTCTCTGTGCCCTTCACAATATCCAATTGCTCCCCTGGGACCCGGCTGCAGGCGAGGAATTGAACAGCCACATGGAAACAGCACAAAACAAGGTTGGGTTTCATTTCATGAGCACAGTGCACTTTAGAMGGAGCGCAGGCCTGATCTAGGATCATTCTGGTGAGTGGGTTGAATTTCAAATAGGAGTCAGCGTGTCCCAGGGGAGTGCAGCAGCAGAGGCAGAGGAGTGGAGTGGGGGACCCTGGCTGGCCTCCCTAAACCCACACAGGTCCACACTCAGAGATCCCAGCTAGCGAGGAGACACGGGAACCCCACGCTGAGCTCCCAAAGATGAATCTTAGAAATTTTAGTAGCTCCCAAGAAGAGAGGGGAAGACAAAGATGACCAGCAGGTGTGGGGGCAGAAGCAGAGGCAGAGCCAGAGAAAGTGGAATGAGAAATGCCTTGTCTGACTCCAAGGCAAGGAAAAAGAACCGGGTCCTGGTGAGAGGAGGCCCCCGCGGGGTGAGACTCCTGAGTCAGGAAGACGTTCTGTGTCACCCAGGAGGCAAAAGCACATGCCTCCCAGCAGCTAGTCGGTGACGCTGCCCTTGGCCTCTGCTTCCTATCAGAAGGCCTCCCTGGAGCCCCGTCCAGCGCACCAGGGCAGCACAGGAGACAGTGGGAGAAGACAGATCGCTTAGCTCCTCCCACACGCTGGGATTGTGCTTTCAGGAAAAAGTGGTTTTGCAAACTAAAAAAAAAAAAAAATTATGTATACACATACATATATAAACACTTATTTACACACATACATATCTACCACTATGTGTGCATTACTACACGTGTGTGTATACRCACTGCATACATTATACGTGTGTGTATGCGTGTAGGTTTCATCCAGGTGCTGCTTAGAAAAGCCTCCACAGCCATCATCTTAGACATGGAGCAAGATGACAGTGGATTTCAGACAGGAGTCAGCGTGTTCAACGTCAGAATGCAGAAATGGAGCCCGGACCTTTCCAGAGCCCACCACCATCATAGCTGAACTGAACTCCAAGCCTGGGTCTTCGGAGTCCAAATCCCAAGTTTGGYTCCATCAACCTGAGCACACCATGACCACCCAGGAGACATTTCTCAGCMACAGAAACCTGAGGTTGAGCTGGAATCTGGAGAACCCAGAATTCAAGAGGACGCCCAGCCAGGAAGGCCCATGGCAGAACCCAGAGTGGACTGCTGCCAGGCACTTGAGCTTCTCACAGCCGAGTCCAGGGCAGTTCACTGGACGCTGGGAAGCCCATTATCAGAACACAGACAACCTCACGTCCTTCTGCAGGAGCCAKCCCTGGCCTTCCCAAAGGGTGGTGGAAGACATACTGGACAAGGTGGACGACATCAAGGAAGGAGTGTTCATTCCAACCTCGGGCCTGAAGGAGATACCCTCCAACGGAGACCAAAATGATCAGGGAGCAGCCCACAGCAGCCAGGCAGCCGTTTTCCGCGAGCAGAGGGACCTCACTAAAGGGAATGGCTACCGCCATGTTTTAAATCGGCTTATGTGAAGGACAGACAGAGTAGAAAAAGGAGCTCCCAGGCAGCAAATGCTCGGCCCAGGTGAGTTGCTTAGAAACACTGTAGAGCTTCCTCCTCGCTGAGGACCTTTTAGTTAGGGGAGGTCCCCTTGTTTAGATGACCACGGGGAGCAGATGAGTGTTAGGTGACCACGGGGAGCAGACAAGTGTTCCAGCTCCTGTGGCCAAGCCAGAGCCTTCAACCTGGCAAAGCCCCTTCCCTGTCAATGTCCCAGGAGGTCAGCCCTCATCTAAGGGTCCTGGCCTCTGCCTCCATGGCCAGCTGTGTAAACAGAGCCTTGGAAATGTCCCCAGGGCATGGACAAAGCACCACCCCACCCAGGAGTTGGCAGAGGAGGAGGGCAGCCCAGGAGCTGCCCAGCCACCGCACAGGAGAAGCTGTCCGTGAAGCTTTGCTCCAGGCACTCGGGCCTCTGAGGGCTGGCCCCGCCTTGCACACCAGCACTTGGCGTCCACAGGTAAGAGTTGCTCCACCAAGAGGCATAGCTAGAAAGGTCCCTGCCCCCAAGACTTGTCAGTCTGTGTCACTTCCTGTCCCCACTGCTCATCCCAAGGACCTTGACGCAGAGAGGGTCTCGTCCATTAGTGAYGTGTGTGAAGCCAGTCACACCTGCTCCCTGTGCTGTGCTGTCTGAATGCCTAGGTGTCGCCCTGGTGGGCAGACTGCATCTCTCCCCTGACCCATCTCCCCTGAGGTGGAACTGCCCTTCCTTGGGCACACCAGAACCCCTTGTCCTACAGGGCTGGCCTGCGGCAAGGAAATCTCCCCAGTGTAGCCCGGAGTCGTTTCTCCATCGTGCGAGCCTCTATATTCTAACCACCAAAGCAAGGTAGAGCGTGACTGTGCACTGGGCACGGCGCTGGCTGGGGGAAGGAGACTGGGAGTCGGGAGTCAGCCTGCGCAGGACACTGCCTTCTGTTCCTATGTATGGAGCACCCCTGCTGCTGTCTAAGGTCCYGGAGCGGAGGTGTCCCAGGGCTCGGTGCTGCCTCGGCCCCTGTGCACAGCCCTTGAGGGCCTTCCTCAGCACCTGACTTCCCTGWGGGCAGCCGAGACACACCTTCACCCTGGGCCCTAGAAAGGAATCTTTCCCGGGCAGAAGAAACAAAGCAGGCACACTGTGGAGGGTGCACACGTCAAACACGGAAGCAAGTCAGCAAAACCCAGGTGTGCGGCTGTCTCAGGGAAGAAGCTCTTCCAACATGGCCCTGTGGGAGTTGATAAAGAAGAGACAAGAAGTACCTCTCTGGGCCAGAATCTCACCTCCTGCACTCTGTGAGGTGATCACCAACACTGGAATCTCCTTAGCTACTCTTTCTAGCTGCCTCTGAGAAGGATATCAATGAGAAGTGCTCACAATATTAAATATAAGGAAAGACGGGAGCTTTCCAACCGAACATCATTCCACAGAAAAGACTCAGTCCATTGAGTTTAAATGTCAGGAGTGAAATTTTTGCTTTAAAAAAAGGTAAATAAAACACTTCTATTAACAGAGTTCTAAGACAGGACCCAGTTCTAAGACTGACCCAGGCCAGTGCCACCGAATCTCAGGCTCAGTTTGCYCTCCCTTCGTGGTCCCCAGAAGCATGCTCTGAGAGCCCAGCTGGACAGGCCACCGCAGCCCTCACCTCTTGCTCCTCAGACTGCCTCACTTGCCTGCTTTAACAYCTGTGGTTCTTAAGCCTGCAGACTCAACCTGCAGCCTCCTTCCCACTTGGAAAGACTGTGCCCATCGTGCGAACGTCTTGACCTCCATGTCTCTAAGCAGCATCCTAACCACGGAGCAGCACAGCCGAAACCAAGTGCCCCGGAGTGGCTCACCTTCAAGGTCGTCCTTGTAGATCACGATCTCTTTCTCTCCCTCCAGGTGAATTGCTGCCGAGAGAAAGGGTGRTGCTGAGCTGGCACCCAAGGGTGCCTAAAAGAGTTGGCAGCCACTCTGCATCTGCCTGCCACACAGCCAGTCCCCGGGAGCAGGCGGAGACGGCGTTCTGGAAGGTTCCTGGCCATTTTAGCACCTCTCAGCTCCTCACAGTGGACCCAAAGACCCTGGCAGGTAAGGAAAGTACCCTGGCTTGATTAAAGCCACAATTAAGGGTCCCATGCCGTTAAGGAGAGGAACCTGTATCACATGAAGCGAAGACTCAGATTCAGGGCAGTTTGGCTTCAAGGCCCCGCGCCCCATTATGTGCTGTGATATGTCATCTGTGGACTGAGAAGGGACTCCAGGGCAGAGCTCCAGGACAGGAAGCACTGGTTGGAAAGTGTAGATGCCAGCCTGGCCGCCCGCATCCTGCAGGACCCTGACAGAGACCTGGGGTCGGGAGTACATCCCGGAAGGCCCGGCTCACACATGGAGGGTCCAAGGGAAAGGACAAATCACCCAGTCGTCCTTTCACTTAAATGTCCCCAGCCTACCTTGTAACCTTCTGAGGTCAGCAGGGTCAAGGGCAGCCACAGCATCGGAGACCCTGGAAGGTCTGCTGACGCCGGCACTGTTGACGGCCCTCACGCGGAACACGTAAGACCGTCCTTCGAAAAGTCCCGTCACRGGGTACTTGCAGATCTTCACTGGGGCATCGTTGCACTGAACCCAGTTGTCAGTTCCCACTTCACATCTTCAAATGAAAACAGGGGGAAAGTAGAAAACAACWCTCACAGACAACCACCAGATATTCACAGGCGAATCTTCACATTTCAGTTGTTCCTGGAGATTCCCACAGGGCAAAATCCAGGCCGTGAAAATACGGATTTCCACAAACAGAAGAATAACAAACTGGAAGACAGYGCTACTCAGGAAATGCAGTATCTTTCTCTACCTCTTTATAAATACCTCCTACAGCAGATAGGTATCATATCCAGATAGACAGAAGGTAGAAAAGTTACTGAGTCTTCATACTTTACAGCTTCAGATCATCCTGCCTTCCAACACATTTGGATACAATAGCCGCAAGCAGTTATTGCAGCTCTAACCTCCAGAGTTCTTTCCCCAATTTGTGTGCCAAAGCAGCCCCTTTCCCTCAGTGCCCCCACATGCACCTTCTCCTGCTGAGCCAGGGGACAGATTCTCCTAGGACGCTGACTTGCAGTACACTGAATAACATTAAGATATTTTTGTCCAGAAATACCTGGAAATAAGTTCTGACCAGAGCCTGGAATGCAGGAAAGATCAGCCCCCATTTCTCAGTGGTCAAGAAATCTAAGTATAAAGGCTTCGTGTTCAGTGCCCAYGAGAACGTCAGCCTGAGGGTGCAATCATGTCAGGAGAAACCRACTCCCTTCCCCAGGTCAGACAGAAGGTCCTCCGATCCATGCACCTGGCCTGTGCCAGCCAGAGTCCTGCATGGTCAGCCCTGGGGTCTGAGGAGACTGACTCAGCACAGCCAGCAGGTCCACGGTGGGGGCCGCGGAAGGACGTGCCTTCTGTGGCTCTGGATAGGTGTCAGTGGGGGGAGGAGCGAGGATTGTTGACTGAAAGGTGCGTGGAGGAATGTGACGGCACGGGTGGACACACAGGCGTCCCAGGGGTGGCAGGCCTGTTGATTCAGGGAAGCCCTGAACACGGCACTCTTCAGGCCTGCTGCCTGCTCCCAGGTCTCTGGATGGCGGATGCCTAGCTAAACAGGGGGCTCCACTGGGCTGGAGAAGAGAAGCCCATCTGCCTAAGCCAAAAAGTCACACCGACTGATTTCTTTCCCGAAATAACCACCAACTCTACTGTCATATCCATAGTATCTTAAATCCCTGCCAGAACCCCCCTCGTAACCCAAGAGTTTGCCCCTTCTGCCCCCCTTCTAAATTCACTTTCTGTAACAGCCATCTCTTCCCATGGCTGAAACGTCTGACCAAGGTCTCCACATCTAACAAACGCACTGGGCCAGCTCAGTACTCCTCCCAGGCTCTGAGGATTAAACCAATAAAGGAAAATCAAAGAGCTAAACCAGGGGATCTAACGATGGCCTAAATTTAAGTTATTAATACAAAGACAAATCCAGTATTTATCCTTTGAGCTAAACCTGGAAAGCAGAGAAACCTTCTTACTCAATAGAACAAGAGACCAGAGCTGTGGGGACTGTGACCTGGCGAGGCTCCTGCCGCGCTGACACTCAGGGTGGGGGCCGAGCATCGCCGGCCACATGGGCGCCCCTTCTGCTCTAGGCCCAGGGGACACTCAGCACATGGGCTGCCGGGGTGGAGCCTGCCCGGATTTGTTACTGGGTGCCACCGGCCAACAAGGCTCCAATACCAACACAAAGTAGCCTCGGGCTTACCCTGGGCTCAGACCAGGAGGCRATATTTCCCAACCACTTAGTCAAGAGCGTGAGACACCCAAGGAGTGATGTTCCCGAGCCAGTCAGGAAGAGCAACAGAGGGTTGCATCTGCAAATGTACCCGAATTTGCTGTCTGTGCTGACGTTGATTTCAGGAGCTTCCGTCACAGGAGGAAAGCCGAGCCACTCACCGGTCAATGAAGTAGCCGAGGACAGGGCTCTCGGTGGTGGTGTTGGGTGGCTTCCACGTGACGATGACATAGTCTCGGTTTGCATCATGACACTGCAGGTCCATGGGTGCTCCTGGAGCCCCTGTGACCAGCGGGTCAGCATCTGAGTGGGAAGACATGATCACTGTCACTTAAAGTGAGGGTCACTGCAAGCCTGGTCCTGCCCCTGCAAACTCAGATCTGCCTGCTGGGCTAGACCACCGCCATGTCCGCCTCGCTCACTCAGACCCGTCCACCCTCTGGACACACCTAGGAGTTGTTTTAAAACTCGGAACACCGAGCCCTCTGCAAGACTCTCAAGTGTGTGACTTTTTAATTGGATCTGAGATTCAGGTCCACCTTTTCTTAGTTTCATRTGGTCACGTGATGGCACGGTGTCAAAGATTGATGGGTCGGCACTTTAATGCCTGAGAAATATTGCCTTAGACACGTTCATATTTCAAAATCCCTAAAATTGGGAGGGATTTTTTTTTTCTGGAAGTCGTAAGCAAAAGTTTGGGTCACTACTCGACCTGTTCTTTTTACAGACTCATGACCGCCGTAACRCAGTCAGGTCGTGTGTTCAGGTCTTAACTCTGGCTGAGCGGAGGGAGCAGAGGTGTCTGCAGCTCACACTCTGAGCACCTCGTCTCCTTGTCTGGAGGTGGGCTTAAGGCAGGCCTGGCTGGAGCACGTGCCGCAGTGTAAGCTCACGGCTTCCCTCACAGTCTCCCCAGCACCTGAAGAGCTGGGGCTTCTGGACATGGGCCCATACTTTCCCTCACATTTGTCCCCACAAGTCATCAGCGGGTGAAGTGCCCACGTGGGCACGGTCCCCTCCTGYGGGATAAGCAAGGCAGTCCCAGCTGGGTCGCATCATCACACTGTAATGGGGTGAAATATCTTTCCAGAAGAAGGCAAGAGAATGAAGGTACATTTAATGCCCTCTCTTCTGACTTACGTGGCTCCTCTCTCAGGGCAGCTGACCAGCGGGCCSGGGCAGTGCCTGCCTTGCATCAGGGAGGTCTGCAAGGACAGCGGCCTCCTGGCCCCTCCCGCCCCCCTGCTCGGACCCTCTCGCTGTGGGCCCACCTTCTCTGCAGGCTCAGGCCGTGCCCCAGCCCCACCTCTGACAAACAGGAAGGCACTGTGGTCGCTGACTCCGCCTCGGGACACAATTCTCAGGGTGTACAGGCCCTCGTCGTCCTTGTTCAGGTGGCTGAAGGACAGCGACGCCTGGCCTTCTCCAAAGAACATCTTGGTCCACTTTGACTCTTTCAGCAGCACATCTGAAAGAGCACCAGTTCAGGTTGGCTCAGAAGCCTCCCAGCGACGCACAGGAACACCAGGTGGCTGCTGGGACAGCTCCCAGAGGCAGGACAGTCCCGTCACACGCACAGCACATGCGCAGAGAAGCGCAGTGGGAAGAGCTGCCSGGGGGAGCAGAGGCCCCCACCGCCGAGCCCTCTCCAGCCAGGCTCCCTGTGGGTCCCGCTTCTCGCACACAGCCTGCTCCCACCCGCATCCTCCGGCACCCAGCAGGTACTCAGGAGCGCCTACTGGATGGTGCTCCCGTGGGCCAGAGCCCGCCCCAGGGCTGGCCTTGGGAAGGTCCTCACCACTGTGGCTGGGAAGGGACAAGATGCCAACCAACCCACGCATCAAAAGGCAGTGACCAGGCTGGCTGGGCTCAGGGGTAGAGCTGGCCTGGCAGGAGTGAGCGCTGGGCTCGATTCTCAGTACCACATATAAATAAGTAAAATGAAGAGACACTGGACAGGACCTCAGCAGACCTGGCTGGACCCGGGCCTTGAACAGGGCTGTTCCACCTTGGAACAGCCTGAGTGTCTCCATGGATGGCCGCAGCCCCCAGGCTGGTCACACTGGATGGTCTTGGGTGTCTCACCAGTGAGGAAGCTGGCCAGGTGTCACGGYAGCCCCTCCTCTACAAACAGAGCCACCTGGCTGTCCCTCAACACACAGAGAGCCATGCCGGCTCACGGTTCGCCCTGACAGCGGCCAGCCACGGCTGGGCGGGGCAGGTGTGGACGACTCCTCTGGGGTCAGTGTGGGCACCCTGGCAYGGGGCTGTGGACACCACACCGACACGTCTGGATTCAGGAAGCTCCTCACTACCTCTCCAGGGTCCTCCCAGATGGAGTTCAAGGTCAGTGTCGGCTGCCAAGCCCCCCGCCCCCAGTCCCTGGTGTGGCTTTGCCACCACAGCAAGCCCAGGGGCAGGGGGAAGGCCGACCCATGCCAGCATCAAGGACCATTGCTGCCCAGCACTCAGCGCGGGCGGGCGGCCAGACACTCACCGTCCCTGTACCACTCGGCCCGTGGCTGCACCCTCTTCAGGTCTGGGGTCACCAGCAGTGTGCACTTGAGCGTGAGCGTCTCACCCTCTCTTCGGAAGGTAACTCCAAATTTCTCCAAGAACTGAACATCGAAGTGTGTGTACGGGATCACCGAGGACAGGGGCACTGCAGGAGCAAGTGGGGCAGTCAGCACCGTGGTGGCTTCTGCCCAGAGGTGCCCTGACCACAGCAGAGTGCTCCACCTCAAACTGCGCCCCCTCTCGGGAGCCCTGCCGGCCCAAACGTGTGTCCACCACATTCGTAGGCTGCAGCCCAGCCCCACAGGCTAGCAGGCAGTGGCCCTGGAGGAGAGCAGGGCTGAGTGAGGTYCTGAGGACTGGTCCCTGCAGGTGTGGGCACAGCAAGGACATGCCATCTGCAAACCAGGGGTGGACCTTGCCAGAATCCATCCTGCCGGTGCCCTGGTCTTGGGCTTGCTGCCTCCAAAACCCTGAGAAATTAGCACCTGTTGTTCAGTCACATAAGCCACAGGACTGTTAGAGCAGCCGAGCTGAGCCAGGTGGGAGGCAGACGGGCATCCCAGAGTCAGGTCCGGTCACTCAGGCACAGCTCGGACCGAGCCTTGGGCTTAAGCAAAGGCCAACTCCCCACCTCATACCCAACTGAGGCCTCAGAAGTCAGTTTCAAAATGAACAGTGGCCATTCATCAATAGTGTCATTTTTAGTGCATCAAACGAATTAACTAGACCCAGCAGTGTCGGCAGACCCGATCTCAAAGGTACGCTGGGCAGGGGTGTGAGGGGTGCGTGTCAGAGGAAAACCAGCTGTATATGTTTTAGACCTGGGAGTCTAACAAAATGTAACGTCAAAACTAAGAGTGGACCTGACTTAGCCACAGGCTCTCCCTCGGATGCTGTCTGCACACGTGTTCCCAGCCCCTGCCCCACTCACGTCCGATTGGGAGTCCCACGGAGTAGAGTGGCTCCTCGTCGCCTCGGAACCCTGCAGGACAATCAGGTGAACAAGGCAAAGAGAGAGACCAGCCGGGCCCAGGCTGGCCGCCCCCCGGGTGGGCACGCACTTCTCACCACCACCGCAGCGTTGGTTGACACCTGTCCGTGCCCATTGGTGGCCACTGCCGAGTAGGTCGCAGTGTCATCAAAGTCCGCCCTTGAATAGAAAAAGCGGGTCTGTGGAGCGGCTCTGGAAAAGCCCGCGACCTGAACTTGAACAAAGACATCCCTCGAAAGCAAACCCCGTGACCTGGATGGGCTGCTCCTGAGCGTGTGTTCAAGAACAATGCCAGCGCTGCCGTGGAGCGGCGGACGGCAGCGGAATTAATTATAGACAGAAGAACATCCGATCCCAGACCACAGCTGGGCTTTGACTGAGAGGGAAAAGACGCAGGTGTTGACGGCCTCCGTTTCATCCTGGGAAGCCTCTTCCACCTGGGCCTAGGACTCTCCTCCACGGCATGCAGGCTCCGGGACCTCCACCTCCAGCAGAATCACCGGGCGGGGAACGTACAGGGGCAAGACGGGGGCCTGCACCCGCTCTGCCGAGAGCAAGGACTCTGGCAGGGAAAGCCAGGCCCCTGGTCAGCATGGCCCGGGGCCACCTGCCYGGGAGCCATGACAAGAAGGTCCAGGCAGCCTAGGAACTTGCACAGGGAGCCCCATCTCCAGGTCCTGATGACCTCCACCATGACAGAYAGCGCGTGCACTTGGCACCGTCCCCAACCCTCCAGGATGACAGCCAGCAGAGGTGCACRAGAACTCAGGGAGGCCCAGCAGGGACCAGAGTTTTGTCCGGCACAAGCAAGGGGGTTCCAGACRTGTGCAGAGACCCACTAACCTCCCAAGTGAGCCACGCCCTGCTAGACAGCAAAACMCACTCTGTAACCCAACCCCGCCCCKCAACAGGATTTCCAGTTCCTAGGAGTCATGCCCAGGACCTCGAACAAAACGGTCCCCCAAATGCAAATTCCTCATCAGGACATATTAAAAAGCCTGCGCTGGAGGGCTGGGCTGGGGCTCAGTGGTGGAGCGCCCCCCTGGCATGTGCAAGGCCCTGGGGTTGATCCTCAGCACCTCATAAATAAATAGAATCAAGGTCCATCAACAACTAAAACAAAAAGCCTGCGCTGGACCCGACCTGAGGCAGGGGTGCAGGTCCATCCCTGGGAACCTGGGAAGACCATGACCTGAAGGTAGCAGAGCCCCAGGCCTCGGCCGGCACTTCCACACCACCCCAGCTGTCCTGCAGAGGCCCAGCTCAGTCCTGCAGAGGCCCAGCTCAGTCCTGCAGAGGCCCAGCTCAGTCCT